GAAAAGCATACTTGCATGGATGCTTTCAATAGCTTGAAAGATATTTTAAAATGAAAAGTAAGCCAGGCCTGATGATGCAACCTATAAATCCCAGCAAGGGGACCGCACTGAGTTTGAAGTTTCACTGGGTTATAGAGGGAGACCTTGTCTCAAAAAATCAAACAACCTGGTAACACTAAAGAGCATAGCAAACTGGGCACAGTGACACACACCTTTGATCCCAGCACTCAGGAGGCAGAGGCAGAGGCAGGAGAAGCTCTGTGAGTTCGAGGCCAGCCTATTCTACTACATTTAGGGTTCCAGGACAGCCAGGGCTACATAGAGAAACCCTGCCTCACAAAACAAAATAAAAATGAAAAAGCCTAGTGGGACTTTTCAATGGGTGGGTGACGAATGAATCTCGAGGGTACCCTGATCCATTAAGCATTGACAACCATCTCTGAAGCATATCCTTTTCTTACACAAACCTTATGATCCCACAAGGGCATAGCATCCTCTTCATTATGCAGATAGGGCGACTGAGGCCTAGCGGGGGTGGGGTGGGTGGAGGGGGTGGAGGATCGCTGAATGAGACCACATGGCTGGTTAGAAGTCGCGCTGAGAACTGACCAGAGGGCCAGGTGACAGGCTGTGCAGTACACTTTGTTACCTTCCGACACAAAGCTGCTCCTAGGAATGTGTGGCAATGCCCCTCCTCACAGGGAAAAGGAACTCTCAAGGACCAAGTTCTTGGGCTGGCTGGGAAAGTACCTGGCTTCCTTCCTCCCGATGAATGTCAGACGCAGAAGCAGCCATCACCGCTAAGCCTCGACTCCCCCCAAGGCAGGCACGGCTCCTCCTGTGAGTCCAGGCTTGGGACAACACTTACTTTGTCTGAGGGCAGAATCTTCTTCCTCATTTTTCAGTGTTAGGGATGAGTCTCACACTAGGAAGCTCTTTACCACCAAGTCACATCTCCAGCCATGAAAGAATCTTTGTGTGTATGTTGGGGGTATTAGGTGGCGTGTGTGTGTGTACGCACATGTGAAGGCCAGAGGTCACTATTTGCTCTAAGATTTTGTTTTGTTTTTAGTTTGCTTGAGACAGGGTCTCTTTGTGCAGCCCTCAAACTCAATATGTAGACCAGACTGGCCTTGAACTCATAGAGATTCCCCTGCCTCTGCCGGGATTGAAGATTAAAGGCGCATACCACCACCCATCACTTTAAGACTTGAGACAGCCTCTTAGTGGATCTGGAGTTTGGGGCTCTAGATTGCCTGGCCAGCATGAGGACAGTCCCCTCCTGTCCCCACCTCCCAATGCCAGGTTATGGATGTGCCTGCAGCGCTGGAGATGAGGACTCAGGTTCTCAGGCTTATACAGCACGCATGTCACCCACAGAGCCGTCTCTCCAGGGGTGTGGTGGTGTGCACCTTTAATCTTCAACCCATCCACGTGCGGGGAGAATGTTTCCAAGGCCCCTCACGTGGTGTTGTCCAGCACAGAACTCTCAGGTGTCTCTCTGCTGGGTGGCCTCACAGTGTCTCAGCTCACTTCCCCTAAGTGTGTGGGGGCAGGAGAGAACAAGAGGCAGCGTCCAAGATAAAAGCAGTGTTTTTATTTAACGATTTATTTCTTAGCATACGCACTGGGGTTTTGCCTGCATACGTCTGAGGGTGTTGGATCCCCAGGAGCTGGAGCTACAGATGGCTGTAAGCCGCCATGTGGGTGTTGGGAATTGAGCCCATGTCCTCTGGACAAGCAACCAGTGCTCTTAACTGCTGAAGAAACAGTGCTCTTTATAACTTGTTCCTGGAAGTGGCGATGTGCTACTCTTTAGATTCTGGACCACAAAGCAGCACACATTAAAGGGCAAAGAGTATACAGGGCGTGAACACTAGAGGCGGGTTCACTAGGGATCACCTCAGAGGATACCCACACCAGAGACACCAGAAACGCCTAGCACTGGCTGTCTGCTGGGAAGGGAACTGGGAAGATGGGCAAGAACTTTTCACTGAAAATGCCTGTGTACATTTTACACTTCAGGTGAGGTGTACCTTATTCAACAAGAAAATCACATCTATTTTGAGATCTGAAATCGAAAATAATAATGAAAAGGATGACATTTTAGGGAATGAAGAGAGGGATTGGTAGTTAAAAGCACTTGCTGCTTTAGCAGAGACCTATGTTCAGTTCCCAGCATGCACATGGCAGCTTATGACCATCTATAACCCTAGCTCCAGGGAATCCAGTCCCCTCTGCTGGCCTCCACAGGCATCAGGCACTTAAAATACATTCTTTGCAAATAAGAAAGGATAGCATTTTTTATTCTTTCCCCCAACCCCCGAGACAGGGTTTCTCTGTGTAGCCTTGGCTGTCCTGGACTCACTTTGTAGATCAAGCTAGCCTCAAACTCACAGAGATCCTCCTGCCTCTGTCTCCCAGAGTACTGGGATTGATTACAGGCATGCGCACCATGCCTGGAGGACATGCCTGGAGGATAGCATTTTTAATAGAAGACCTACAAGTGAAGAAAAAAAAAATCATTATTCAACACCATATATATGTTTCAAGGAGACTTAACTTTATTATGCAAACATGAAAATTGACAAGTTCTGCTTAATAACGCAGGTGCATTCTGAGAGATGCATCGTAGTGAGTCTGCTGTGTGAAACAAACCACAGGCTGTATTTCAGCCTAGGAAGTCATTCGCAATACTCTGTTGTTGGACCACCCTCCTAGAAGGAATGGGGCCCTTCAATGGCTGAAGTGTTTCATAGCACACAACTACAGACACACACACACACACACAACTATAGTTCCCACAAAACAGAAACTCTGTGTGTGTAAATGCACACGGAAGCCAGAGATAAATGTCAAATCTCTACTTCTATATTCTACACTCCCCCTTTTTCTTTTGAGACAGGATCAATGAATTGGAAGCTCACCTCCTGTCCAGCCAGCCCCCCCCCCCCCCCGAGTCTGTCTTGCTCCCCAGACCTGAGATTAGGAGTGCTTTTAAAATGAGTGCTAAGAACACACAGGTCCCTGCGCTTGCTCAGCAGGCACTCTACTAAAAGCCACCTCTCTCTCTCTCCCTCCCTCCCTCCCTTCCAAATACAAACTCTTAAGCAAAAACTCAAGATTCTACACAATCCTGCCCAAGCTGCCTTCACAGATGGGGTCTTGTCATCCTGTCCTGTGAACTCTCCACAGCTGATGTTCTGAACTTGATTAACGTGCCAGGGTCTGGGAGTAAACGTAACAAGCATGGTGCCTGGGATACAACAAACTTGCAGCAAACTCCACCCTCAAGCCAAGACTGCTTTTGTCTGGACTGTCCCCAGGCATGGACTGCCCCGTTCTGCTCTCCCTCATCCAGCCCCAAGACAAATCCCCTCCAAGGCTAACTCAGATGACCCTGTTACCACCAAGTCGTCCCCACACAGTCGGTGCCTCTTCTCCCCCACAGCTTCTGACTTCAACTGTTACTTTATTATAACCTGAATTCTCTGTTACTGTATGATAACCTGAATCACAGTCTCTACGGTTCCTAGACCAGCAGCATTAAAGTTACCAGAGACCTCATCAGAAACAGACCCCTGGGCCTTCCCATGCCTACATGGTGAGTGTAAGAGACCAGTATCAGCCAGGACCCCCAAGATCAAGTTCTCAGCACAAAAGGGGTTTATTTGCCCCAGACAGACAGAGGGCAGGGAATCGGAGACAGAGGACAAGGGAGAAGGGAACAACGGAGAGGGGGAAGAGGTATTTGTCCCAGAGGACAAAGGACTGCCTCTAGATAGAGAGGAGACAGATATGACCCATAGGAACTGTTGGTTTATAAAGGTAAAGGGGCAACCTCATGTTAGGATGAGGTACTTAATTTTAATTTCAATTGGGCATGTTACTTAGGTGAGCCAAAGGGGACTTTTGATTGCTGAACTTTAATACTTTGATAGCTGGACCTTGGTAGTCAGCCTCAGGAGGAAGTAGCCAAATGAGGGAACAGACCTTGGTTGCTAGCTTTAGGAATGTAATCTAACAGTTTTTAGCAAGGCCATGTTCAGGCTGGCCAGAGTCCCTTTAGCAAGAGTCTAAATGTTAACAAGATCCTTGTCATTTACATATACATTTAAGTTTTAGAAACGCTACTTCAGACCTGGCCTGGAGTTGAGAGCATCAACTGCACTTATAAAAAACCCGCATTTACTCAGCGGCTGCTTCTCTGCTCACCTCCCCCTGGGAGGGGTGCAGCCTGGCCAGGCCACAGAGGAGGACAAAGCAGACAGTCCTGATGAGTCCTGATAGGGAGGATCAGATAGAAGTGGAGGAGGACCTCCCCTATCAGTAGAATAGGGGAGGGGCATGGGGGGAAAAGAGGGTGGGAGCCACATCTGGGATACAAATTGAATAAATTGTAATAAATGATGATGATAAAAAAAAAAAACCCACATTCACTTCCCAGCACCTCTATGGTGGCTGACAACCATCTGTAATTCCAGTTTCAGGGGATCTGATGCCCTCTTCTGGCCTTAGGTGGCACCAGGCACACACATGGTGTACAGACATACATCCAGGCAAAACACCCGTACAGATCAAAAACAAAACAAGATAACAACCACAAAACACCTGCCTGAGCTATAACACTTCCAGTGGCCTTCTTCCATCTCTTTGCCTAGAGCCCAGCATAAGACATAATATTAATGGTGGGCATGGTGGTATTTGAGAGGCTGAGGAAGATCATTAGGTGCTACGGCCACAGCGCAACTCCAGTACTGGGGAGAGGAGAATCTCTGGCTCACTGGCCAGCCAGCATAGCTTAATTGGTAAGCTCAAAACCAACTAGAGACCCTCTCAAAGGCAGAGGACGGCATTCCCATGGATGATACCTAAAGTAGTCCTCTTGTCTCTATACACACATACACGCACATACACACACATACATGTACACACACCACACATATACAAACATGCATATAAAGCAAACAAAAGATAGTAATATAGTCACAAAATGTCATATACTCTATAGTTTTATTGACTTATTTACAGAGATCCCACTAGTCACAAGTTAAAAAGTACAAGTTTGGTGCTGGGCATAGAGGTGCCTTTAGACACAGCACTTGGGAGGCAGAGGCAGGCGGATCTGTGAATTCAGGGCCAGCCTGGTCTACTCAGTTTGTAGGATACACAGAGAAACCCTGTCTGGGAATGGAGGTGGAGGTGGGGGCGGGGAGCATCCATCCTCTGCATTAGGTCCTGTACATGGCAGCCTTAACTTCTACAAGCATGTGGGAAGCTGGGACCCCAAGGCAAGCGGCCACTGCACAGAAGGCAAAGCGAGGCTCTGACTACCAAATGAAGGCTGCTTCTCGGTTTCTTTCCTGTTACTGTGGGTGATGCTCATCTTGGCTGTCAACTTGACATCTGGAATCAACTAAACCCACACAACCGGGAATGCCTGTGAGGGGTTTTCTTGATTGGATCATTCGGGTGGGAAGACCCACCCCAAGGAAGGGCCACACCTTCTGCTGGAAGCCCACAAAAAAACATGTTAAAGAAGCTTTTGCTTTAGGCTTGCCTGTCCTCACTCTCCACTCACCCATCCATTTATCTATATATCTCTTCATTCATTTTATCAGTTCTGTTCCTTTAGAGAACCCTAAACATGATTAAAACATGTTGACAAGTGCAACTTAAGGGAGAAAGGTTTTCTCAGGCTCCTAATTTGAGGCTACAGTCCATCACTGTAGGTACATCAAGGTGGCAGGGCCCTGAAGCAGCTGGTCACATCATACCCACCAGGGAGGGCAACGGATTAGTGCATGCCTGCCTGTGCTCAGCCTGCTCTTTCTCATCTGTCCCGGGGACTAGCCCATGACATTCAGGCTGGGTCTTCTCACCTTGGTTAAGAACACTTTGCAAGTATGCTTGCAAACCAACCAAATCTAGAACATCCCTCATTGAGACTCCCTTCCCACGTGACTTTCCGTGTGTCAAGTAGATAATAAAAACTAAGTCACAGCTGGCACCTCCTACCTGGCCAGTCACGCCAAACTCAGAAGCCCATGTCCAGTGCGCGCTTACTGCAGTCGTAACCTGTCACCAGGGAATCTCAGCATTCTCAATTACCTTTCTTTCTCTGTTTTCTTTTCTTTTTGAGACAGAGTCTCAGTATGCGGCCTTGCTGGCCCTGGAGCTGTGTAGCCCAGGATGGTCTCAAATTCACAGAGATCCACCTGTCTTTGCCTCCCTAGTCCTGGGCAGGACATCCGGGGCCCCTCAGTTACTTTAACAGCAGCAGGGGACCTCTCTCAAGGACAAAGCCTCAGAACCCCTCATGCAGCACTATCTCCCCCTGGTGGTTGGCTTTGGAAATGGAAACTGGCTTGATGATGAGCCTCTGTGAAGGGGTGAACAAGTTAAACATTCACTTTTCTTCAGTCCCTCCCTTTTTTGGCTGTGCAGGGTACTGAATCCAATACTTCATGTATGCCACACACACGGCTACTGCCCCGGATTCCCAGACCCACTCAGATCTTTACACCATTAAGGACTCAGATATTGACACACACAGAACCAGGACCTGAGCCAACCACAAGAGGTGCTTCAGAAGACCCAGGCGGAGGCGGCCACAGAACTCTACCTTCTGTCCTTTCCTTCCTTCCACTTCACGCCTATCGATGGAGGTAGACACTGCTTATCAGTGTTGCCTTTACTATTTCCCCCGCCTCTCTCCACGTCTCAGAGCTGGGGGTGCAGTGCTCGTGGACCTTGGTCTTGGCCCAGCATGGAGAAGTCCTAGGGACCTCTGCTGTAGGCACTGGTTTTTCAGAGCGGCGAGTTGCAAGGCTGCCATTCACTTCGGGATGGCCGGGGGCAGCAATGGCTGCTCTCAACTGTGGTGTTCCAGGTCTCTAGACACTGCACAGCCCTCTGGCTCCTCCAGGAAGAAAGAGACACTCACCAGGATATCTACAACAGGAGGACATCAAGTTTAACAAGACATCAGGTTGATCAAGGCCCAAAAGCAAAGCAGGGGTGTCTCTTAACACCTCCAAAGACGCAAGCCACCGGGGAAGGTAGGCAGCATGAGGAACTAACAGAAACCAGTACCTGGCACAAGGGTTTGGCACTCGTCTTCTGAAATTTGGTCCCAGGCCTTGGGCAGTGATTGGATGCTGGCCAAGTCTCCCCAGTGTATGGAGGAGAGGAGGTACTTTCTCTTCAGGTACTTTCCCAGAAGTTAAGGACTGCTCAGGAAAAAAAAAAAAAAGGAACTTATACAAACCAAGATAACTGTGTCGCTAGGTCATGTGATCTTATGGGATGACTGTTGAATGTGGTCCATCTCAGCCATGTGACTAAAGCAAAGGCAGGGGTGGAGAGAGCCAAGCAGCGCCTTTCAGCAGCCTGGCCTAGGGGAATGCTTAGCTCGTGTCAGCTGCTGCCGCTAGCTCACCTACACCCCTATTACAGTTATAATACAAAACAAAGGGAATAGGGAGGAGCAGCCACACATTTCTGGATCGGGTGACAATTTCCTTTGTCACCTGGACTGGATTTAGAATCACCATGGAAACACAACTCTGGTGGTGTCTGGGAGGGTGTCTCCAGAAAGGTTTAACTGAAGCGGTTAGACCCACTCTGAATGTGGAGGCTGGGGTCTCAGAATGAATAAAAGGAAAGTGAACAGAGCGCCAGCATTCACCGTCCCCTGCTTCCTGACCTAGGTGCGACAATGACTTGTGATCCTGTCCCTGTGCCCTCCCGTCCATAATGGACCCTATACCCTCAAGCTATGAACTGAAACAAATCCGTCCACCCTGAGGCTGCTTCTTGTTGGATACTTGGTCTCACAACAACATGAAAATAACCAACACAGGGGATGCTGCTGGTTTCAGCTTTAGACTTGAACTTGCACTTTTCTAAGTAGGCCAGCTGGAGGCAGCCACGGGAAACTGAGACTCAAGACCAGGAGCCACAGTGAAAGGAGCAAAACCAGGGCTTGATGACAGTAATGACAAGAGTCCAGTGGAAAAGGCCAGAACTGCACCTAATTTACTGCTCTCAGAGTCACTCCCACCATGCCAAGTGTCCTTCAGAACCAGGCCAGCACTGTTAAGCAAAGGCCCTGAACACACGATTCTGTTTTAAACCTTCTGAGAACTTTCATCTCAGAGGAACGGTCAAAACCTTCCAGATCCTTCTCAAAACACAAGGCCCTCTATCACTATCCTCATGGCGCTGCCCTCACCACACTGCCCTCACGGTTATTTCCTACATGTGCCAGCCTTTTCACCAGATGTGCCCTCTGACTGGACCAGTTGTCTCCCAAATATCCACAAGGCTCATTCCTTCCCTCTGCCAGAGTTTTGCATACCTGCCCTGACCACACTACCAAAATCATAGTCCCACCTTCCCACCACCTCATCTTCCATGCTTTGTTCTTAGCACTTGCCACCTCTGACACTATATATTTCCCCCCTTTTTTATGCCTCCCTCTCAGCACTTAACAGTAGTGCCTAGCAGATAAACTGTAAGAAACAACTATTAAAAACAAAACAAAACGAAAACAAATGGGGGAAGAATCCAGCTTTGAGCACTGAAGAGAGCTGCCACAGATTCTACAGCCTGTTGACCTTGTGAAATCTGAACCTGCAGAGGCTTCTAGGAGAAGCTCTGGGAGGTCTGGAAGCACTGGAAGGATATGAGCTTCGGTAATGTCTGTCGATGTCTTGTAGCCACTCCAACATGTCAGCCACAGAGGGGCTCACGACTGAGGGCTGCAGGACAGAATCCATGTCAAGCACAGCCGCGTGCTGCTCGTAGGTGTGGAATACCTGCTCCACGTGGCTGCTGATGGTGTCTCGAACCTTGAGAAGGGCGGCTCTGTAGGATGTGAGGCAGTATCGCAAAAAAAAAAAAAAAAAAAAAAAAAAAGAAGACGAAAAAAAAGGAAAAAGACAGGACATAAGGCTTCTTTCTTACTATTGGCATCTGGAGGTTTTGTTTAACAGGGGACTCAGACCCTCAGACATGCTAGGGAAGTGGCCTACCACTGGGCCACACCCCAGCCCCCACTTTGCAAATTCTATGTAATTTAGTACAGGAGAAGGGCAACCACACACCACAGTACATGTGAAGAGGTCAGAGGACTACTTTGCGGTGTCCACTCTGTCCTTCCGCCTTTCTGCGGATTCTGGGGACTGAACCCAAGTCATCACCCTTGCATAGCTGGCTGGCTTTACCCAAATGAGCCATCTTGACTGCCCTTGTTTGGCCAGTTCTTCAATGGCAGTGTGGGCTCAGGGTGCACAGACTACCCGGGAAAGTTATTTCCCCTGTGTATAAAGGCTCTCCTTTGCTCCCTGTGTCTCCCAGGAAGAGGCCTGCATACACAGGAAACCCACAGTCAGTGTATTGGTGAATAAAGATTAATACGATGCTGTGTATAAAGTGCTTTTGGCAGTGCCTAGGCATTAGTGTAATGCTGACTCTAAGAGACCCATCACCAAGACAACGGCTGTAACTTCCCAGAGGACAAAGGATCCTCCAGCCCAGAATTCTGGCTCTAAAAATATCTGACTGTGGCTTACAATGTAAAAACAAGAAACAGTCCAAAACCTGAAAGTATAAGTCTTACTTACTGACTGTGAGCAACATCAAAAAGAAACAAGCAAAAAGCAGAACACACAGTAACAGTGTAACATCTGTGTTGTTACTGTTTCCTGGGCTACCTCAGTTACACATTTTCACTTGTGTACAGAACAAAGTGGTGGTAAAGAGCTCTGGCTTAGGTGACAGACACTTTAGAATCTCAGCTCTATACTCACTGGCCATGTGATCAGGAGCAGCCGTGTATAAGGTAATGCACATAAGCCCTTAGAACTGGCACTTGCTAATCCTAAAGTTTACCAAAGACAACTGCAGAAGAAAGCTACACTCTTTCTCCATTCCTCTTCTCTTCTGCTTTTGTAATTTCTTTTGTTTATTTAGTTGGTTTGAGGTTATTTTTGTTTATTTATTTGCTTACTTACTTATTTTGAGATAGGATCTCTCCATGTAGCCCTGGTTGTCCAGGAACTCTTTATGTAGACCAGGCTAGCCTTGAATTCAGAAATCTGTCTGCCTTTGCCTCCTGAGTACTGAGATTAAACACCTGGCCTAGTTTGGGTTTTTTTTTAAAGACGTGAAGCCCAGGCTGGCCTCAAACTGACAGACATTCAACCTTAGTCCCTTGCATGACCATTTCCAGCTTGCTTCTGTCAGCTTTTGTATGCCCACCCTGACTGGAGCTGGGATGTCATGCAGCTTTTAACACCTTTCCACCAGAAAAGGGGCCATGGAGCCTCTTACTGCCTCTCAGCTAGCTTGTCCAGGACAACATCGCCGGCCTCTAGTTGCTTGCGCCTCAGCCGCTCCTGTAAGTCTGGAAAGGGACGAAGGGCCGGCACATCCTCAAACCGCAGACTCTGTGCAGCCTGCAGCTGCTCAGCCAGGTTGCTGAGAGAGGAGAGGAGGGGTGAGAAGTCCTGCAGAGTACTCTGCCACAGGTCCTGCTGCTTCTCCACCATGAGAAAGCACTTCTTCAGAGCCTCCTGCACAGCCAGCAAAGGCTGGTCATGAGCCATCTTCTGGGAAGACAAAAACAAAAGAGTCAGAGTACCAGAAGGGGAAAGCCAGGATCAGGGCTGAGTCATTTCTGACCTCATGAGAAGCCAGCTTTTTGTCTTTAAATAGTCTCAAGGAAATACTGAAAGGTATGGAGACTTGGGAGGACATGAAAAAAGAAGAGGCACTCCTTATCCGGGAAGCAGGTTGATAACGTTGGCCAACAATGAGAATTCCAGCAGTACACTTACCAATTGCTTATGGCCTTTTCTCCTTCTCAGCTGTAAACCTTTAATTTTCTAGAACTCTCACCAGAATTCCATTTACAGAGAAAGGACATGCATTATCCCTTCTACAACCATAATAGTTTATAATAGATTATAATTATAATCTATTATAAATTATAATGGTATTATAATAGATTATAATACCATCCAAGGAATCTTCTCACGTCTCTTATCAAACAAGAAGAGAAAGAAGGAAATAGCAAGGTGTTTAAGAAACCCCTTCGAGATGAAATTTTAAAGCCACCAAAATAGCATACACAGCTAATGTTAAGAAAAATCAATATTGCTAGCCTGGCAGTGGTGGCACACAGCTTTAATCACAGCACTTGGGAGGCAGAGGCAGGGGATTTCTGGGTTCAAGTCCAGCCTGGTTTACAGAGACAGTTCTAGGACAGTCAGGGATACACAGAGAAACCCTGATTCGAAAAACCAGGAAAAAAAAATCAGTTGCTGGTGTCCCTTGAGGAGACCATACCCACTTAGCTATGTCTTACTTTCTGAGATACTTTGAACAGCTTGCAGGTGTCTTTATTCCCTGCTTAGCTGCCCCTCTCTTAATCCCTGTGCTTAAGCCTGTATTTTAAAAAGCTTTAGGCTGGGCGTTGTAGCATGCACCTTTAATCCTAGCACTGGGGAGGTAGATCTCTGTGAATTCGAGCCTACCCTGGTTCTACATAGAGAGTTATAGACCAGCCAGTGTTACAGCGCGAGCCCCTGTCTCAAATGTGTGTGAGAGAGAAACAGAGACTCTACCTCAGAACTAGCTGGTGTTGTATTCTTTTCCAGCGTCAAAGTCATCGACTGAGCTGCAGTCCCTCAAAGCTTAGGGGAACGCCTCACGTTGCTGAGGGTGGCAGGGTAAAGACAATCACAGCTGACACTCAAAGGTGGAGGTTCTGGCGGTCCTCTTAGCAGCTCTCTGCAGAAGGACCTTGGCCTCTCACCTCAGTAGCTGATCCTGGAGGACTTCCGAAGGGCTTCACTACAGGGCAACCTCTTGCTTTCGATTGCGAGTCCCTGGGGCCTGCCTATCCTCGGACCCGTGCTTCTGGAGTTAGCTGTGTCTTCTTTCTTTGAGAGTGCCAGCCGTGTTTTTAAATCAGCAGGAAAACTTAAATCCTGAGTTGTCAAAACTTAGCACGCTGCTCTTGGCACTGTCTGCACATGCTCAAAGCGAACGCTACGCTCCAGTCCCACTTAGCGCGACTCTGGAGTCGCGAAGAGATGACGTGTGCTGCAATGACTTCTGGGCATTGAAGTCCTCCGTGATGATTGGCTGCCGGGTAGAGAAGATGCTTTGTTGTGATTGGGCATTGTGAGACGCGTCCTAAGACGGTGACTTGTTATTGGTCAGCCTGTGTCCGTTCAGTTTGAATTGGGTGGCGGTTAGCCGAGGAGCAGCCAGTCCCTCCGCAAGAGCTACGAGGCTTCCTGCGTCTGTGTTTTGGGATCCACAGGTACGTTTCCTCAGCCTTCTGGGTACCTAGACTCCAGCGACTGAGCTCTCGCGGCTCCGCACTCGCTCACGTGCCCTCTCCCCGTCTCAGCTGCTGACCCGATCGCTCGGCTCCTCGCTCGACGAAGCCCGCACTCCGGCGCCATGGCTCCCAGAAAGGGCAGCAGCCGCGGGACCAAGTCAAACACGCTGCGGAGCCGGAAGCTCGCCTCCTTCCTGAAGGACTTCGACCGCGAGGGTAAGGGGCTAACTCGGGTGTTAGCGAGTTTTGGGTGGGTGGGGGCGCGGGTGCGACGACTTCGCACACCTCCTGACACGGGATCCGTCGGCCTTGACCTCTTCTCAGTGCAAATTCGAGCCAAGCAAATTGAATCCGACAGACAGAACCTTCTCAAGGAGGTGGAGAACCTGTACAACATCGAGGTCCTTCGACTCCCTAAGGCCCTGCGAGAAATGAACTGGCTTGACTACTTTGGTAAGAGCTGCTAGCGTTTCCCCCCGTAGCCTACAAGTGCTTATCTTGAAAGCTTTCTGTAGGGACTCATTCAGATGTCCCTTTCTTAATAAGGTCTAACATAACCACCGGTGGGATAATTGCCACCTGTCTTAACTTAACAAAAGAATGACGGGCCCATAGAAAAGAAGCTGACATGAATTACCCCTCAGATGAACATTATTAGGACAGCGAGTCTCACCTTCACAGCTGAGAGGGAAAGCATTAGGAGGAATACACCAGAGATAGCATGATGGGGCCCTGAAGCTGGAGGGAGAGAGGTAGGAAGAGGAAAAGAGAGATATCAAATCCAGGGGACAAAGTGAACTTCCGATTCTTGAAGGCTTCGGGGTGGGAGGAGGTGTTCCACACCCGATGTGACATGGCCTAAGCTAGCCTACCTGTCAATAGGCAGGAATGCAGGCACCAGGTAGAACTGGAAAGTTGTCCTGCAGCTTTACAGAGGAGGGAGAGAATTGCAAGGCTACAGCACATTACGCTTTCTTATCATCTCTCTTTGTGCCTCAGAGGACAGTTTTGGGGACATATTTTGGGGAAGAAAGGAGGGGGTTGTGATTTAAAACTATCCTACTAGGGCTGGAGAGATGTCTCAGAGGTTGAGAGCACTGGCTGTTCTTCCAAAGGTTCTGAGTTCAATTCCCAGCGACCACATGGTGGCTCACAACCTTCTATACTGTGATCTGGTGCCCTCTCTCTGGCCTACAGGCACATGTGCAGGCAGAACACTGTATACTGTATAAATCATAAATAAATCATCCTACTAGCTTGGCGGTGATGGTGCATGCCTTTAATCCCAGCACTTGGGAGGCAGAAACAGGAGGATCTCTGTGAGCCGGAGGCCAGCCAAGCCTCCACACACAGAAACCCTGTCTCGAAAAATCAAAAAACAAAAAATAAATAAAACCACCCTACTGCATAGTCCACGTGGAACTTGTCATCCAGCCCACGGGTAGGCAGACCTTTTCCCTTAACAGGCCAGGTAACAAATATTTCAGATTTCTGGAACTGGATTTCTGTTATAGTTCCAAAAGAGCTGTGATGAATTTTATTTCTGGGCACACTGAAATGTCAATTTCACATAATTCTCTCATATCGGGATGTATCTGTGTGTAATCAGCCTTTTAAAATGAATGAGTAAATTAAGAAAAAAATGATTTGGTTTTGTCAAAGCTCAGTTAGAACAATATAGGATACTGCTATGGAAATTGCCACTTTTAAAATGAGCAAGTCACTTGTGAACTGCAAAGGCAGGAGTGTTTTTCTGATCAGAGAAAAAAATCGCAACCCATTTCCCACACTTGTTAAACCTCCAAGAAAGCAGGCCCCATTCTCTCTCATTGGTTGTGTGGCTTCCCCTTTCTCTGTTTGTCTTCCTCATCACTGATAGCTACCAGTACTTATCTTTCTTCCTAGGTAGAAGAGCACAAGAGTTCATGAGTCTTCTGTCATGTCTTAGTAATCCATCTGTTCACAACACAGTTTCGAGTCAAGTTGCTATGCTAGATGCTAAGATGCAGTAAGGGACAAAACAGACTTTGCAAATCTTCACCCCTAGAAGCTTATAGGTTAGTGGAGAAGGGTCATTTAAAAATTCATATGGAATTAGAATTATGAGGTCACAAAAAAGATGGGAGTAGTAGCCAGTAAGTCCAAAACAAGCATTAATAGTAAAAGCCAGTTTTGTGTTTGAGACAGGATCTCTGTAGCCATGGCTATCCCGGAACTCTCTTTTATGTAGACCACGGTGGCCTTGAACATGCTTGATATCCACCTGCATCTGCCTCCCTAAGTGCTGGGGTCAAAGGTGTGTGCCTCCACCACCAGGCCCATGCTGATTTCTAACAAGAGGAGCTAACCTAGGTTTTTATTCTGCATCTTGTTTGTTTGTTTGTTTGTTTGTTTGAGACAGGATTTCTCTGTGTAACAACCCTAGCTGATCTGGAACTGGATTGGTAGACCAGGCTGGCCTTGAATTTACCTCAGAGATCTGCCTGTTTCTGCCACCCGAGTGGTGGGAGGCACCATAGCAGGTTTTTTATCAGGACTGGGATTTTATCTCTGGAATTCAGGCAGGAGTAGACACCTAAATGGCTTTAGTTTAGCAGCTTTTGAGTAATTTACTGTACTATGTCTGTGTGTATTTACAGTTTGAGGCAGTCTATGATGATAGAAACATTAACAGTATTACTGTGTCGTTTGAGCTGAGGTTTAGAGAACGAATAGAATTTTGTATGGTACAAAGAAGTATACTGAGCAGCAGAGATACTATCAAAGCACTGAGTCTGGGAACAGCTGTACATTTGGAAACAGCAGGAAGTCTGAGGACATAGAAGGTGGAATAGTTAGCTACAACAAGGAGGCACCAAACTGGGAGAAAGACTGTGAAAGGCTGATCCAGTCTGAGAAAGATAACTGATAGCACTAGGAGATACAAGTCATCATGCAAGCCTGGTAGTAATTATGATGTTTTTGTTGTTTTGTTGTGTGTTTTTTGTTTTTTTAAGCTCTTGGCGGAAACAAACAGGCCCTGGAAGAGGCAGCAACAGTAAGTGATCAATCTTGTTTTTGAGTTGGTTAGTTTGTAAGTTTAATTTTGTCATGAATTCAACTGTTGGGTGTATACTGTAGAAAAAGGTTTTGTCAGGAGACATTATCCGTGTAAACTAAAAAAAAAATTATAGTTGTGTCAAAGATACTGCATACATGAAGTCCAGGTAGATCTCGGTCCTAAAAACGGAGTGTACTGTGTGACAGTCCCTCTCCCCTCCATCTGTGAATTCCTCGTCTGGCGTTGTAAAAAACTGTGGGTCAGAGATATTCAGAAAAAAAATAGGTTGCGTCCACACTAAATATTTACATACTTATTTTCTAAGTGCCACAGCGGAGTGACTATTTGCATAGTATTTACCTTGTTAAGTGTTTTGGCTTGTTTAGAAAGAATTTAAAATAACTATAGGTCTGTGTGTTGGTGGCAAACAACTTTAATCTCAGCATGGGGGAGGCAGAGGCAGGTGGATCTCTATGAGTTAAAGGCCAACCAGAGAAACCATGTCTTAGAAAAACCAATAAGTAAATAAATAAGGAAGTAAATAAATTAGCTAGCTATAGGACATATTTAAGTTATGTGCAATAAATAAATTAAATAAGCAAGCTAGTTATAGGACATGGTTAAATTATGTACAAATACTATTCCATTTTATTTAGTTTTTGATTTCTTCAAGAGTCTCACCCAGACAGGCCTAGAACTCATAACCTTCTTGTGTTTCTCCATGGGTACCAAAGAACAAATGTGTATGTTATTTGGGGGATTTTGTCTACAGTTTTTGCCCACAAGTTCTATACCTCTCCTTCCCTTTTTACTGTGTGTTCATGTTTTGCCTGCATGCATGTTTGTACATAGCATGTAAGCTTGGTTCCAGTGGAGGTCAGAAGGAGGTGTTGGATCCTCTGGAACTGGAGTTAGAGCTGGTTATGAGCCACCATGTGGATGCTGGGAGTTGAACCTGGGTCCTCTGTAAGAACAGTGTTTTTAACCACAGAGTTCTCTCTCCAGTGCCTTTTCCCTGCCCCCTTATTGTTTCATAGTACACCATGAGACTGTCCTATATTAGAATTATTTGGCATTTTGTTCTGTGCAGCTGCATAGTTACAGTGGGGAGAGTTCTTTGCTAGTCACAGCAAGCACCTTTTGACCTTGTCTGGGTTTGTGTTAATGAAGTGACTGATGGAAAGTCCTCAGACACATTGGATGTTTGCCAGGGGACTCAGCTATCCCCTCAGAAGATTGGCGCTCAGAGCAGCTCCTCCAGTGGAAGAAAGGGCTAAAAGTAAGCGGATTGCCAATGGCCAACAGTCAGCCCGTCATGCCTATGTATCTCCATACACCCCCCCCCCAAATAAACAGGTTTTTGGAGCTATCAAGGTTGAAGAACAGGCACAGCAGAAGATCATGGGAGCTCTGTAGCCTCTCCCCCACACCTTATCCTAACATCTGGTAGGGAAGTTTGTATTTTTCCTTTTCCCTCTGAGGAGTGAATAACGTTAAGACTATGAAATAAACTGGTAATGGTCAGATTAGCTTATAAACAACATATCAGCATAGGTAAACATAGGAGTTCGTCAGCATGGGAAAAGAAACTTAAAGGGCTTGAAAATAGGGACTTGAGACTCTTGGAGGGAAAGAGGTTACTGCAAACTATTGGGGGGGGGGCAGTGAGGAAAAGATGCCAAGGAGAGCAAAGGTTGTCCTGTTATACAAGTAGTCTCCTAGAAGGCCATCCATCTAACTTCTGCTAGGCCAGGTGTTATCCTGCAGTCTTCCCGTGCAGCAGAGACCTCTGCTGGAAAGGCTCTGCCTGCCTCTGCTGTTTGCTACTGCAGAGAGTGTAGAGTTGTCACCAAAGGGCTTCCCAGAGGCAGCCTGTGTCCAACCATAGAAGTCTGCAGTTCTGAGCAACCAACTCAAAATATGCCAGAGAAGTGTATTTGGGACAGAATGTTTTACTATCCTCCCCACTACCACCACCACCACCACCAAATTCTTTCTCTATACACTTTGTAGTAATTTTGATCATAAACTGTCAAATGTAGAGCTGGCAGAATGGCTCAGTAGAAAGACACCACAACTGACAACTATGCTTAGATACCTAAAGCCCACTGATCAAAGTTGTCTTCTGACTACACGAGGGCTTAGACCCATAAGGACATGAAATAAAGTGTTTCTCTGGGCTGAGAGAGCAGCTCAAGGTACACACACTAGTTGGGACCCCTATTTGAAACCAGTAGATGAGTAGGTAAGTAACTTAGGGCTGCTGTTAGGGGGTGGTGGGGAGAATTTCACAGGATCTGATGGTGGCCTCAGATAGATAGGATCAGAGTTGAATTAGCGGGTTCCATCCTAGGATTGTGGCGTGGTTTGAGGAGAAGCCCACACTTTTTGTCACAGACATGTTCCATGCTATGCAGAGTATCATAGGAGAAAGTGGGTCTGTCATCCTAGATCATCAGAATCAGTTCCATTTTGACAGCTTCCCTGTGGCTTTTTTATTTCTCTTTTTTTAAGATTTTTTTAAAAATGTATTATTTATACAGTATTCTGCCTGCATGTGTGCCAGCAGGGCAGAAGAGAGCACCAGATCTCCTTATAGATGGTTATGAGCCACCATGTGGTTTCTGGGAATTGAACTCATGACCTTTGGAAGGACAGCCCATGCTCTGAGGCATCTCTCCAGCCCCTTCCTTGTAGTTCTTTACCCTGAACTTTGCAGGGTAAGTGGAGAGCACTGGCCTTATAGTATTTACCTTGTGTTAAGTGTTTTGGCTTGTTTAGAGAGAATTTAAAATAACTATAGGTCTGGGTGTTGGTGGCAAACAACTTTAATCTCAGCATGGGGGAGGCAGAGGCAGTGCTAGACCGAAGGCTTCACTGATCCAGTTTGAGAAAGATAATTGATAGCACTAGGAGATACAATTCATCATTCAAGCCTGGTAGTAATTATGACTACATGTCCTTTCCTAGCATCACCATCAAGAGTGAAGGAATGAAGGTGGGGACAAAAATGAATGATTTAGTTCTTCAGACACCAGCAGCATTTGTGATGGCCAACAGCCATGTTACTGGTGGCTACCGTTGGACAGGACAGAGAATGAGTGATTTTTGTCTGTTGGACAAAAAGTTCTTTTGAACAGAGATGGCATCTAGTCTGTCATTGGCCTTCACAGCATCCCTAGGTATGATAAAATTGTTTATAAACAGTGTGCACACATTCATCTATTTTCTTGGGGAGAAAGCTGACCGTAGTTGTTCATCAAAATTGGAGCCTTGGGTTGAAAGGATATGGTGACTCAGGGTGTCCATCAGCTTCAGAAGTTAAAATAATCGGGAGCCAGTCTTGAGTTAGGGAAGGGTAAAGTGTTTGGAGGGGGGGGTGTGCTGTAGAAAGGTGGAAACAAGTGAAGCAAACCACGAGCCATTAAAGTGGTCTTTAATGTTTCAAAACATTCTAGATGAATCACGCTGGTTAGCTAATAATGTCTTCTAATTTTAAATTAGTCAGATATACAGAACTGCAAATAAGCCTTCTGATGCAATGTGGGAGATCCAACACTATCACACCAAACTGAAAGAATTCCAACTTTAGCTTTGATTTGAAACCCAGGGAAAAAGTGATACATTGGTCCCCAGTGCTCCTAACTAGGTTTGTTCGGGCTCCCAAGACCACTGTGTAGCTAGGCTTTCCTTGAACATGTTGGTCCTCCTGCCTCAACCTTACAAATGCCGGAGTTACAGGTTTTGTGATTCCCTAGGAAGACAGCATATGGTTATACATACGGCTTGACTTATCTCAAGAATACAAAGCAGAAGGAGCAGGGTAAAATAGCGCATATGCCAAAAAGTTCAGAGAAAGTCAAGCAGCTAGGCATGGTGGTGCCTTTAATCCAAGCATTGAGGAGGCAAATCTCTGGAGACTGGGGCCAGCCTGGTCTACATAGTGAATTCTAGGATAGTCAGGGCTACGTAGAGTAATCCTTAACAAAACAAAACTGGAGGAAGCCAGGTTTTAGCTTCCTGGAGCCCCATTCCAGTGGAGTCACAGGACAAGCTTTATTCAACATACGTGAGCTGTTGTCTCAGCACACAAGCTCATTCGGGACTCCATATAGATTTTTTACGGGTGCTAGTCATTTGGGCATCCTCTGCCTAGCAGAGGAAAGCTCGTGTTGATAATGTGTAAACTATATTTATTTTCACAAAGCTCCCCCCCCAAAAGTTTAAGCTTGGAGACAGCTATTCTTAACACGAATGAAGAATCCTGGAATCCTAGCCAGCCAAGGTCCAGTCTTGCAGTCAGGCCTGTAATGTTAACTCTTGTGCTGTGTCCATGGCCTGCCAACAGCAGTGAGTTCAAATGCTGCCAGTTGTTACTAGAGATGGTGGAAAGTTGGCAGGAATGCCCTACTTTGTTTCTATCAACATGGTGGACATTCTAGTCTGTTAGAGAACTGTTTCTTGCTGAGCATAGAAATGTTTTTTGCATTCTGAAAAATCTGTGTGTGTGTGTGTGTGCGCGCGCGCGCACGCGTGCACATGTGCACATGCACATACATGTCCTTTCCTAGCATCACCATCAAGATTGAAGGAATGAAGGTGGGAACCAAAAATGAAGCATTTAGTTCTTCAGACACCAGCCACATTTGTGATGTCTCTATACATATGGACACCACATTGTAATGTCCATAGATATATGGACACAGCCAAATCTATAAACTGCCTTCTAAACAAACAAAGTAATTAATGGTTTGCCTCTGAGGGATAGCAGGAGAGATAAAGAAACAGAACAAGGAAAAGAACACATAGCCAGCAGTAAGTTATTGTCAAGGTCTTTGGTCTTGGGCTGCATGGTAGGTTTATAATTCGTTTGATCCTTAGCTTACATTTTCATATACATGCTGGATTAAGCCTGCTACTTTCGGCTGTTTGTCACAGGCTGATGTTGACATCACAGAAATAAACAAGTTAACAGCTGAAGCTATTCAGACACCTTTGAAATCTGTCAAAAGTGAGTACTCATCTTTTGTATAATTTTGTTTGTATGTGTAAATCTTTATGGTGTGTGTGAGAGCACAGATGAGTGTGTGAGTGTGTGGAGGGAGAGGCTGCTGATGTAGGGTGTTAGTCACTCACTCAGAACTTGCCTCTTCAGCCAGTCTAGCTTGCCACATGCCCTGTCTACCCATGGAAGGCTGGGATTACAGAAGGCCATTTTCCTAGGTCCTGAGCGTCAGAACTCCATCCCTCACGCTTGCTTGCATGGCAAGTACGTTATCCATTGATCCATCTCCTAAGACCTCTAATGGTTTGAGTCAGAGTCTCAGAATGCAGCACGAGTGAGCCTGGAGCTGGCTGCTCTTCTACCTCAGTGCTGGCATTGGAGGCACATGCCAGCGTGCCTGCTGAGAGTGCATTTCAAAGCCCCTCATGGAACAGAGAGCTGAGGTCCAGAGAGCTTCGCTGGCCGCTTAGACCGGGCCTCGGTGGTGTCTCTGCCAAGACTATCTGGCCCTTGGTTTTGTAAGTTTAAAAACTTGATTTGGGTCACTGTATTCAATGATTGCTGGGCTAACGTGTGAGCTAAAGTGAAAAGGGAAGCTGTGCTGGAAACCAGGCCTGGTGTCTGCTCACTTTCTCCAGAAGTCTTAGTGAGACTCCCTGCCATCATCAGCAGGGCTTGAGAGAATGGTGGGGGAATGCCTTTTTCAGCATTTAAGTTCCTGTGGCTCCACTCAGGGATGTACTTGTGCAAAATCATCCCACATGCATGCCCCATACTGTGGGACTGTTGTTGCATTTTTATTTGGAAATGGGGTGGTGTGTGCTTGTAGGACAAATTGCAGTAGTTGGTTCTCTTTGACTGTAGATGAGGATCCAAGGGGTTGACCTTGGGTCATGAACCTTGGTAGCAAGCACATTTACCCACTAAACCATCTTGCCAGCCCAGATGCAGGTTGGGTAAATTAAGGCCTGGACCTTTTAAAAAAAAAAAAAAAAGAACTGGACCATGTGCCACTGTCATGGTTCGTTGCAGCTTGATACATCCATCCCTGTTAGAGCAGGACTGAACCATTGCCTGGATGTGCAGGCTGCTCTTCAGGGGCCCTTTGACACTCACCAGAACCAGAGCCATTGCTAATTCTGACAGAGTTGGTCACACTTGCCTTGTAAAGTGAGGAAAGCATGAGGTGTTTGGGCTCCGCCACATAGGATGGAATTGAGCTAGAGTTCCTAGTCCCCTTTTGAGTCTGTTAGGTGTTAGGTCCCTCTATATCTTTTTGTTTGTTTGTTTTCTTGTTTGTTTGGGTTTTGTTTTGTAAAGATGGGGTCTGTCTATATAGCCCTGGCTGTTCTTTGAACTCGTGTAGATCAGGCTGGCTTTGGACTGGCAGAGACCTATCTGCCTCTGCCTCCAGAGTGCTGGGGCTAAAGGTGTGTGCTACCACTCCCAGCCTTCACTGTCATTTATATGTGTAGGTAGTACCCCTTTCTGTTTTGAGTTGCATGAGTTTCACTTACTTGATGGTTAGCAGGTGAGGTATGGGGGCTATATTCAGCCTAGAACTGAGTACAGCAGGCCCATCATCAACCAGCAGTTAACAAGTGTCCTTATAACCCTTTGACCTGAGCTTCAGCTATAAGGAAATAAGCTATTTAAAAATGAAAAACAGCCACCCATGTATTTGGGAGGTGGAGGCAGGCATATCAGTAGTTAAAACTCAGCCTTAGCTACAAAGTGAGTATGAGGCCTGCCTGGGCTATCTGAGACCCTGTCTCAGAACACACACACACACGCTCACACACTTTATGTTTCGAGGTCATAGCTAATTAAAAAAAAAAAAAAAAAAAAAAGCCTATATTGGTTTAGTCTAATTTTCACATGTCCTTCCCCCATGCCCCATATGACTAAATCCATGAATTTTCTCTTTGTAACCCCTGCTCAGGATTTTCTAGCTCATAACTTGTGCTTATTTAGCAAAATCATGTTGGTGATCATTTGTCTTGTTTTTTTATGTGTGTGGGTGTTTTGCCTGCATGTGTGTGTGAACATCCTCTGCGTGTCTGGCGCCTGAGGAATTCAGAGGAGGGCATCAGATCATCTGCAACTGCGGCTCAGGTTGTGAGCCACCACTTTAATGCTGGGAACTGAATTTGAGTCCTCTGCAAGATGACAAATGCTCTTAACCATGCCATCTCTCTAGCCCTCCCGGGAGTCTTTTTTAAAAAGAGGATTTAAACAAAGGGAAACAGAGTGGTTAAGGAATGATGTGTTACTACTGTAGGGCCAGCCTGGCATTCTAATTAGGACAGACTTTAGCCAAGAGTGCACGATGCACCTGTAATTGCAGTGCTTGGGAGGCTAAAGCATGAGAATTCCGAGTTTGGGGCCAGCTTAGGTTATATAGTGAGTTTGAAGCCAGACTAGACTATGTAATAAGACCTGATCTCAAAAAGCAAATGAAAAAAAAAGAATCAGGTGAGTATGGGACCTGGTGCTGCCACTTACTAGATGTCTTTAGCAAAGACTCACCAGCTACCTTATAACAAATAGGCATCCTCACTTCGCTCTGTAAGAAGAGGGGTAGGCAGATTGCTGCTTCTCGATCATCAAACCCTAGAATTGGTTCTGTAGTTGTTATTTGTGGAATGAATGAACAAAAGGCTCATTGGACAGTATGAGACAAGTAACTACTAGTTACTACATTGCTATTTATACATAACATTATTATAATTAGAAGCAGGGAGGACAGGGTGTTTAAGATGAATTCCAGTGGAAATCCTCATGCTTAAGGGGCTTTTACATGGAAGGCAGTGCTATGGACTCCACTGAGCAGAACCGGTTCTGACAGAGTAACTCTTAAACTGTTTCTTACAGAGCGAAAAGTAATCCAGGTGGATGAAGTGATAGAGGAGGAGGAAGAAGGAGGAACGAGCCATAAGAATCTTCGATCTTCAAGAGTAAGTAGGAATTCAAGTTAAGCGTAAGTCTGAGAAGGGATACGCCAATACAGAAGTATGTGGCTGAAGTGGAGGGATGGTTTGGCAACTTAGAGCACTGTCTGCTCTTGCAGAGGGCCCTGCTTCTGTTCCTAGTGCCCACATGGCTCACGATAGTATGTAACTCCAGTTCCAAAGGATCTGACACCTTCTCCTGGCTTCCATGGCCCCCAGACACACATGTGGCACACACGTATACATACAAATCATCTATACACATAACAATTTCCTGTGGAGTACAGGGTTGCTCTGGCAGAGCTCACAGACTGAAAAGACTGCACTTGATGTGTCAGATAGCATAGGTCATTATAGGTACAAGTGTAAAGTGCATCAGGAAGAGGGGAAAACGGGAAGCTTTAGGACACACATAGCCAATCTTTTCAGAGCAAGCTTCACTAGCTAAAGAAGAAAGGGATGAGAGTTCAAGACAAGGTGAGAAAAATCTTTCTGAAGAACAGGAAGTGGTCTGGTTTGGTCAGGGTAGAAGCTGTGAGAGAAAAGGGGGAAAGTAGAGACCAGATAATGGATGGCCCAGTATGCCAGACGTCGGCTTCCGTTTTGTTACCTAGGCAGTGGTAAGAGGCATCAGTATTTCAAAACTAAGCTGGGTGTGGTGTCGCCACCTTTAATCCCAATACTCAGGGATCAGAGGCAGGTGGATCTCTGTGAGTGGATAGCCAGGGCAACATAGAGAAGCCCTATCTTGAAAACGGAAAAAAGAAAAAAAAATTCAAAACTATTCAGAATAAAGGGAAAGGAAGGCAAGGGATCCAGGCAGGATAACCTGAAGTTTAATGCCTATTAAAAATAAAAAAATTTGATTTGGGGGTGAGTTCTTTTAAGAAAAGAGTGCTCAGACAGCTGCAATCCAGTGACTGAAGGGTCCCAAAAGCAGAGCGGCTGGTTAAGATGCTGTAGTGTACCTGCCAGTTGCCTGCCCTGCTGAGTACTTTTCAGGATGTCTATGCCAGACAAACTTCTAGTCTGGAGCTCAGCAGGGTGGCCAGTTGAGAGATACTCTCACCCCTGGCTCTTTAAACATTCAGGTGGGAAGACTGTGCTGGAGAGCAAGCAAGCAGAGGGGGAGCTGCAGGCGGGCGCTAGAAAGGAGATGGGAATGAGTTCCTGAGGAGAACCCCCACAGGCAACCAGAAAGTCAGGCAGCGAGGCCAAGTGTAAGAGGCAAAGGAGAGAATGTGCTTCCTGTCAGGATTTCCAGAGTCAGGAAGGTAAGGACTACAGAGGCTCCTTCCTTGGGGCATTGGGCACTTGGGATGCCCTGAGCGACCCCCATAGGGGAACTTCAAGGAAAGTAGTAGGAACAAACTCACTGACTAGCCAGTGAGTGAGCTCCAAGTGCAGTGAGAGAGCCTGTCGCAAACATAAGGTGGAGAGCATCGTGTCTGACTGCACACATGTGTATACACACAAGAATTCCCTTTAATCTTGGCCTACATCCTCTATCTCAAAGTTCTCAGGTTCTGCATATTTTAGTCACTAAACTCTATGGTGGTCGTCCTTATATGTTTGGTCAGGTTCTGAGGCAGTCTCACAGTGTAGCCCAGGCTGGCCTTAAACTCACTGTCCTCCTGCCTCAGCCTTCCTTCCAGGTGCTGGGATCAGCAGCATGTGCCATTGTGCTCAACCGCAATGAACCCTCTTATGTTGAGTTTTGCGTTTTCTTTCAAAACCTAGTTCTTCTTCCACTCTTTTATCTTTCTTTTCTGACTTTGCTAGGCTTTGTGTGATTTCAGCTTTGTGCCTTTAGGTCAAAAGATGCCCTCCATCCAAGAAGAGAAACCAGTCCATACAAGGAAGAAGCAGAAGCAAAAGGTGATTGGTTTTCCAGAGATGTGTTGTTCTGCTTTTCTTGGAGAACTCCATTCAGTGTGGCAGAAATAGAGGGAGAGCAGCAGGAGCCACCTGATGTGGACCCTGGGAACTGAATTAGGGCCCTCTGGAATAGCAGGAAGTGTTCCTAACCATACAGCACCTACACACACACAAACTCCAGCCCCATAATTTTTTTTTTTTTTTTTGAGACAAGGTTTCTCTGTGTAGCCTTGGCTGTCCTGGACTCACTTTATAGATCAGGCTGGCCTCAAATTCACAGAGATCCACCTGCCTATGCTTCCCCGAGTGCTTCAGGCATGCTCCACTGTGCCCTGTTAATAACTTTCTTGAAATGCTCCTCTGGCCCTGCTAAGTTAGGAATCTCCATGGGCTCAAATGGATCACTCGGACTCCACTGTGAACCCTTTGTGGGAAAGGAGAAACAACTTAGGGAATTGGGCTTGGGCTGCATGTCTCTGAAAGAGAGCAGGCCATGCTGAGGCAGAGATGGCAAGATATTAACCAGCTGCCCAGAGAAAATGGTGCCTTTCATGGTCCACAGGCTTTTCCACGTGGCTGGGAATTTGAATGCTGGCACAGCATCTGATATGATCATTTGCCTCTGTGGCTACTGCTATCCTTGCATCTGTAACTTGACACCTCTCATGGCTGTTTCTTGCCTGCAGGTTAAGCCGTGACTTTGTGACACCAGCGTTGAGCAGGCTGGAGCCATCTATGGTGAAACCAACCCCAGGCATGACACCTAGGTTTGATTCCAGGTGAGTACTGAGAGCAGCACTGGATTGGGTAGAGTCCAGCACTGAGCAGCAGAGCATAGGTAATGCTCCTGAATCTTTGGAGCGGGGCACCTCAGAGCTGAGGTTCCCGCCGTTCCCACTGTTGGCCCTGCCCTGACAGCTTTATCTGATGAGAAAGAGAAATCATTGCCTGTAAGAGCTAGAAGGCTTATACTTTTAGCCTTCTCTTTTTCTTTTTCTTTTTTTTTTTTTTTTTTTTTTTTAAGATTGATTGATTGATTATACAGTGTTCTGCCTGCCTGTGTGCCTGCGCCCCAGAAGAGGGTACTAGATCTCATTATAGATAGTTGTGAGCCACTATATCATTGCTGGGAATTGAACTCAGGACCTCTGGAATAGCAGCCAGGCCCCTTAACCTCTGAGCCATTTATCCATTTTTTTTTTTTAAGATTTTTTATTTATTATGTATAGTGTTCTGTCTGCATATACACCTACACATCAGAAGAGGGCACCAGATCTCATTATAGATGGTTGAGCCATCATGTGGTTGCTTGGGAATTGGACCTTTGGAAGAGCAGCCAGTGCTCTTAATCTCTGAACCATCTCTAAAGCCCTAGCCTTTTCTTGATTCTGTTAAGATGGTATTTAAATATGAGTAGTTGCTTATTCCTATACCATTGGAAAGAAAATTGATAGCACCTTTCCTGAGCCAACCTAACAAGACTGTTTAGAGCAGAAGTTAATACTGTCCCAGGAGGCTGGCTGATCGGGCGGGAAGGCAATGTAGCCTTTAAGGAAGAGTGGCGGTAACACAGACTGGTAATCCCAGCCCTCATGGAGGCAGGAAGCTCCGTTCCAGGTCATCCTTGGTTATGTAGCCAGTTTGTGGCTAACCTGGGCTACATGAGACCATTCTCAAAGAAAGGAAACGAGAATGGTGATTGCTCCAATTTAGGAGCTTCACGATCATAGCCGATCCCTCAGGCTGCTGTCCACGTGTGCTGTGCGCTCCTCTTGCTCTTGTCTGTGCAGAAAAATAACAAATTAAGACAATAACTTCTAGGGAGTAGTACAAGAAGTGGCTGTCCCAGGTGAGAAAGACTTTCACTTCGAATTCCTACCCTGCTGTTTCCAGTGACATCTAGCCTATGCCATTTTGGAAGATATGTGTGATAGAGTTCTGTCTTGAAAAGGGTTGTCTGGGATCAGTGTGTAGTCTCAGAATCACCCACCTTTGACTCTGCAGAGGTCCTGGAGATGGAAGTGCAGGAACCAGCATGCTTCTGGTTCTGTGGATGGGTAGGTGATAGACACATCTATGGAGCTTTTGCCCTCGGTTTGCTCGGCCTTCAGTTGACTTTTGCTGGCTATATGTTTGATTATTGCAGCCTCCTTTCTCCAGCTGTGTTTAGTCATTACAGCCTGAAAAATGTTTTCCCTAAATTTAGAATTTGCCTTCTTAGAAACGTGTGATTTGAAAACTACAGCTTGAGAGCAGATGGGGTTGGAAGGGCTTGTTGTGAGGGTGTCATTATTCAGTCTGCCAAGCCATCCTCACAGAGATCTCCACCCTTTAGTGTCTTCAAAACCCCAGGCCTTCGCACTCCAGCAGCCAGAGAGCAGGTTTACAACGTCTCCGTCAATGGCAGCCCTCTTGCTGATAGCAAAGAGATCTCCCTCACTGTGCCCGTGGGTGGTGGTGCGGTAAGTGGCGCCCTGGGAAACCAGGCCACAGTGCTGTAGAGTGAAGCCTCTCCTTTCCCCGAGTTGTGTCTCCACACCTGCTTCAGCTCCAGGTTCCCTTCAGTGGGTGGTTCTTAGTCAACACACTGCCTTGGCACTTAGGACCCAGTTTTCTCTCCCAGGGTCGAGGCCCTAGGAGAACCGTTGCCTAACCCTGGGTCCCATGTGTCCCTCAACTATCTTCTGCCTCTGAGAAGCAGCTCAGTGAGTACAGTGGGTTTAGAGTGCTACCATCTGTGGTGTGTACAGCAATGGGTACTAGAGAGAGCACAGAGGAAGGCAGAGCTGGGATGAGCCAGCATACCTCCAACTTAGCAGTCTTGAGGGATTCTAAAACAGCCTGGCCTGGCTTCTCAGCGCTGCAGAGAGCAGGTTACCAGCTCAGCCTGCATGAGGGGAGGGCACTGAGAGGGACCAATCTGAGATACGGTTTGTGTGGCATTGTACTTGTGTAACCCAGCCAGCAACCCACTGATAGCACTGATGGTGTCATTGTCTCCTGAAGTCTAACAACTGATTCCATCCGCCTGCATTATCATTTCTCCATCCCGCCTGACTTCTGTCACCACATGAAGAATAAAAAGGGGAACCCGGGTACACTGGCTGCTGGGAGAGGTTCCAATCTGGATAGACATACCATTTAACCCTTTCTCTCTCCATACAGAGCTTGCGGTTATTGGCCAGTGACTTGCAGAAGGTTGATATTGCTCAGCTGAATCCAGAGGCCCTTGGAAACATCAAGAAGCTCTCGGTGAGCCCCAGATGCATCTCGACAGCGAGTAGCTTGTCCTTGACATTGGCCTTCGTGGGGCTTTGCAGAAAACAGCTCTCACTTTACTGTTCCACTGTCAACGCTGTTCCATTTTCTCTTAGTTTAAATTCTCAAGAGGAACTTGGACGTGAGTGGGAGCTTGGGGTACAGGCATGGTTGCTAGAGGCCTATCCTTGCATACATAAGTGAAGGGTACACAGGAATGGGGCAAGCCTTGAGCTGGCATCCTGATATGTATTAAGGTCTCCTAGCCATCTGGTGACAGTCATCCCCCAGCATCAGCTCCTTCGCTGTCTCCCTTCAGAAATGAGTCTCCAGCTAGTCTCTGAATAGTTGACAGTACAAACAAAGAATAGAAGGCAGAGTCAGTCAGATGTGACGTGGGAAGCTGGCAAGGATGCCTCAGAGGTGAAGAGCTTGCTTCTGCAGAGGACCGGGTTTGGCTCCCAGGAACCATGGCAGTTCACGACCACCTGTAACTCTAGTGCCCTCTTCTGGCCTCCACAGACACTAGACACCTTCACACGCATAAATAAAAACAAATCTTCAAAACAATCCTGTGCTTGGGTTAGGCTAAGAGCTGACAGGGCTAGCATGCCAGGCACATCTTTTAACATCTCTCCTCATTTTAGAGCCGTCTTGCCCAGATCTGCAGCAGCATACGGACTGGCAAATGAGAAGATGACAGAGCAGCGCACATGGCAGCAGAGACTGTGGTAGCAGAACGTTCACATCTGTCCCTTCCCCTTGTTCTGTGTTGTGCTGGATGGAGCCCTAGAGTTCACCTGCTGACACATGCAGCAGGGCTTTCTGTCTCTCCGACAGCTCGGGTGTCTTGCTGCACACCTCTGGCTAGCAGGGATTAGATAGGGAACAGGCACAAAGGCCGTGTGTGCCTAGTGCCAAGTGACTGTGAGCTGACTGTACACCGCTTGGAGTGTTTTCCTGGAGGCCAGTGTGACTTGTGCCCGGGGCACAGGCAGGCTGTGCAGTCAGCAGTGGGGTCCATCTCTCCTCATTACCTCTGTTATTTCAGTTCTCTATTGGCACAAGTCTTTTGAGGTCTTTTTCTTTTGCTGGCTTTCATACATATGATTTTCTGAGCAGTCATATCTCAGCTGATTTTCTTGCTGAAAGATTGCTGTTCCCAATAAATTGTGGTTTGCTTTGGTTTTTAAGTCAGTGTTCTGCCTGTTGTCTCCAGCTGTGCCGTTCACTAGGGTCGTTTGGGAGCTATAGCTACTGGAGTGAGCATCTCAGGAGTGTGGAAACCTCTTCTGTGATACCCCAAGATCCAGGGCTTATGGTAACTCAGCCAGGCATGTTCCCCACACTTTGTTCTAGCAGCTAAGGAGGATGTACTGAAAGGCATCAGAGTAAACCAGTTCGGAGCTTGGCAGAGAGGGACAGGGCACCTCCCATTATGCTTCTGTCTCATTTCACAGCCCTGGGGCTCAGGCAGTTCCCTGCCTTCCTCCAGCTCTCCACAGTGATGGCCTGCATAGAAAGGCTGGTGGTATAGGACTTTGGGAAAGAACGTGAGTCGTCGCTGGTTGCTGAGCATGCACTTTACAGAGAAGCTGCTGGTCAGTAGTGGGATTTGGAGGAGAGAAGTAACAGGCTACAGTTAACCCCACCTGATGCTTCCATCTCAGTGTTGAGCCTGCTGTCAGGGATCACATGGAATTCCACACTACCCAGAGCCAGGTTCTCATGCTGCCCTCCATTCCCACCATGGACAGAAGAAACTCAGCTGAACAAAATTCACAGTATACAGTAGGTGTTTCAACTACACTAGTCCTTCCTTCTAAGGAAGAGACTGGCTGGGAAGGTTGCGTTCCCTCATGCCAGGGTTTCAAAGCAAGGCTGGATAATGTCACAGGGACATCTTACTATCACACACAAACAAGTGCAGCCTCAGTGTTTGGGTTATTTTGGCAATAATTTTTGCTCCTCTGATTTTATTTTTATGTGAACAGATGTTTGCCTCTGTGTGTGTGTCTGCACCATGTCTGTGCAGTGCCCTCAGGTCCCCTAAGACCAGAGTTGCAGATAGTTGCCGGTGCAGGAAATTGAACCTGGTCCTCTAGGAGAGCAGCCAGTGCTCCTAGTCGATGAGTCATCTCTTCACTCCCTGAACAATGCATTTTAAAAAACGAGAACAGAACACAAAGATTGGTGGCCTCGAGAATAAGGCAGAGCAGCCTACACCGACCATCAGCCAGAGGCAAGTGCAGTTTCCTAGTTCAAAGCAGGGCCCCAGAGGTGACGTTTTCCCCTGACCTGCTTCATCTCTCTGGACAGTTTGTACCTGTACCAGAGCTGCTCAGGGTGGAAGGGCAGATGCACTGTGGTCCCTTAGAACCCCAGAGCACCTAAAAAAAAAAAAAAAGGTTTCTCTGAGTCCCTAGTATTTTGAGTAGCTTCCTGCTGGATAGACCCTACATGCTTTGCCTTGAGACTTAGGACACTGGGTCAGCCTATGAAGTAGTGTCTGTGAGAGCAGACATTAAGGCATTGTTCTCTGAAAGTCAGATACAACCATTCTCTCTCTGTAGGGAATGAATGGCCCATCTCCAATAATGATGGGGAACCACTATGCAAATGCAGGGTTTCCATCTCCAGGTGCTCCCAGGGCCGCCAAGCATCGCCGTGCATGCCCTCTAAATCTGCCTGCCTTTCTAGACAAGTGGTTGTTGGCCTACACCTAAAATTCAGTGTAACACACCCTCTGCAGGGCTGGGGCACTGGAGCTGGGAGGAGCCGGTCCAGAGCAGGAGTGGGGTGAGGACCACTCCCTCGCCTGCCGTCGGCCTGCATGTCAGGTACTCAGCCTTTCAGCCTCCACATCTGGTACACCTTGAGGTGGTCCCATAGCCTGGCAGCCCGGTAACACGTTAAGCTCTCCTTATAAAATCATGTCCCGCAAGCACCTGGAATTCCCAGCACCTTAGCCCTGGCCAATGACGTACGCTCACCCCGAAAGCCTCTACCACTCCCCAGAGGTTTAAATAACCTTTGTCAGTCCCCGTGTAAATGAGCTCCTCTTTTGTTTTTTCAAGACAGGGACTCTTTGTAGCCCTGGCAGTCCTGGACTTCCTTCGTAGACCAGGCTGGAGCCGCTCAAGAAAGCCTGCCTCCCTAGGGTTCTCGTGAGCTCACCTGCCATTTGAGGTGCCCATCACCCCCGGACAGGGGGAGTGGAGCCTGGACGGCAACACTCCAGAATCATAAGACAATTTGCTAGGTACGGTGGTACCTGCCTGTAATTCCAGAGTGTGAGGAGTGAAAGCGGGGGGGTATCAGAAGTTCAAGATCATCCTCAGGTACACAATATGAGGCCAGTGTGGGCTGTGTAATACAGTGTCTCAAAAAGTGACTTAGATGTGTGGCTTATAGAGGAGGAGGACTGAGCCCCGGCTGAACAGGTTCAGTCAGCATTGGGGCCCACCAGCATCTTCAGCTACCATCATCCCTGCGTTATCTATCAAACGTGCCCACAATACCCACACTTCATGCCTACAATCACTCATTGTGTGACACGATATGCCAAGAACCATCAAAATGGACACATTAAGAATACACCCCAAATGAACTGCAAAAGTCACTCAGTCGCAGAAAGCGGCAGCTAGCGTTCAAAAAGAAGGTGGGAAGGACTATAAGGAAACCACCCAGGGGTGGGGAAGCATAGTCAAAATTCAGAAACAAACTTGGTTTGGGTTCTGGGTTTTTCTTACCTAAAGCAGTCTCGATCACAATGTATCCCCCCGCCAGCTCTTAAGATGCTCAAAGTGTCTTGAGGTCATCTGTAACCCGTTTCTGATTCTCTCCATTGCCTCATGCACTTCGACTTAAATGGCGAAGGGGTAATGTAGTAACCCTTTGATAGGGAGTGTACCAGGTGAGGTCAGGAGGCGAGATGCAGTCCCCACTCCCTTGTCAAGCGCTGCTTAATGAGGGCAGTGAGCTCGCTATGCAGTTTCCCCTGGGAGTTGCCCCTGCTTTCCTCGTGGGTGTGATGGAGACTAAGCCAGGCCCAGCCTCCTGAGCCCACAGTGCCTAGAATCATGCCTCATTGTTTTTATAATTGGCTGTGCAGTAAGCAAGGAGATCTTAGCTTCCAGTGCTGGCCGCTAGTCTGGGGCACACTGACTGAACAGGAGGCAGCTTCCTAAAGCCAGATCAGGCTTACTGCCTAGGGAGGACCATTTTAACTCCCAGCCATACGCTTTATCTGCTTGGCATCTGACCTTGCTAGTAATAGCCCTACACTTCAGGAGCGCTTTGTGGGGACCACACACCTGGTCTGATCCCCCGATGCTGGCTGCAGACTTCTGGGGCAGCCCAACAGCAAAGCACCATGTGTCCGACTGCTCTTCTCGCCCAGGAAGAGTGGCTGGTTTGATAAAACTGGGGCCAGAAGAAAGAACTGCTTGAACCAGTAGCATCTGGCTTCTCCTGCAGATCTAATGGCCACAGGAATGCTCACCCCTGGCCTGCTCCTGTCGTGTGGGGAGCTGAGTGGGCTGCTCTGCCCTGTGAGGCAGGACTGTGGCCATCCAGCTCAACATGGGACTGGTAGGTCTAGGTCAAGGGGATGGGAAGCAGGTTGTCTTAGACACACCATATATTACTTGCTGGAGACTTGAACTGTGCACATTTCAGTGCCCCTGCAGTTGGGATGAGTCTCCCAACAAGATGGTGTCTATCACACACATTAAGTGGGGATGGTGTTTTTTCTTAGTGGTTCAACTTACACTCTGTCGTGTCTTGGACTCATGAATCCTGCTAGAGCAGGAAGAGTGCTGTGGGCTGATCAGGGGCTGCAGGGGAGTGGGAGTGCAGACCACTCCATTGAAAAATGCAGACCACCAAGGCACTCCAGTTCTGATCTGCTCCTGTACCAGGGGTCTAATCAGGCCTGTGTCTGCCTCTCTCCTGAGTCGACCAGAGGCCCCATCTAAACAGCCTTCCTGCAGCAGCTCCCCTCTCCAGGTGGCCAGACGGGAATTCCAGACCAGTGTTATTTCCCGGGACATTGACACGGCGGCCAAATTTATCGGTGCTGGGGCTGCCACAGTTGGTGTGCCTGGATCAGGGGCTGGCATTGGAACACTGTTTGGTAGCTTGATTATTGGCTATGCCAGGAACCCATCTCTCAAGCAGCAGCTCTTCTCCTATGCCATTCTGGGCTTCACTCTGTCTGAGGCCATGGGGCTCTTCTGTTTGATGGTCACCTTCCTCATCCTTTTCACCATGTGAGGCTCTATGGGTTCACCCAGCTGTCCCTGCTGCTTTGACTCCATGCCAGTCCTGGTGCTGGAGTGTGCTAAGCTTTAGCATTAAACAACAACGTTTCTCTAAAAAAAAAAAAAAAAAAATCATGCTAGCCAGGAATGGTGGTGCACACCTGTAATCCCAGCACTCAAGGAGGCAGAGGCAGGCAGATCTCTGTGAGTTCAAGGCCAGCTTGGTCTACAAAGTGAGTCCAGGACAGCCAAGGCTACACAGGAGAATCCTGTCTCAAAAAAAATCTTGCTAAGCAACATTCTCCAATCAGCCTTATCAATAAACTGTCTGTCCCTTGAATTAGAATCCAGTCAATTCTGAGCCCAGGGTGAAAGAAACAGTCACCATCCAAGCACTATTCTTGGCCTAGGCAGACAGCAAATTACCTTCTTCAAGATGCCTGTGAACTACAACAGTCTGAGCCAAGAGGCCCAGTGCTAAGCTGACCAAGAGAAATGGAAGCTTGAGTGACACCGGTGTGTCTGCATGCATGTGACTGTGCTGGGCCCTGCTCCAGCATGCCTCAGCTCACACCCCATCCACCCTGGTCACCATCATAGCTACTCCCATGTGACTTCTGCACCCCTAAAATTAAGGTCATTGTCAGAAGTTGGGTAATTCCCCCTTAGGCCCCAGTGTGGAAACCCTAACCTCAATAACTCGGAACATGACTGCATTTTCAGGTGGCATCTTTGCAGAAATGACTTAGTTCATATGAGGCTGTTGGGCTGGGCTGGCATGGACCAGATACAGAGAAACAGAAGATGGCCATGGTCAAACCCAAGGATGCTCGGCTCAGTCAGTAGGAGGAAGTGATACCTTGACTGTGGCCTTCCAGCCCCAGAGCTGTGTGATAATAAGCACCTGTGATGTCAATACCCAGTTACATGGCCTGGAAGAAGAATGGACTCACCAATGTCATCTCCCCTGTACCCCCGGCCCCACTCTGCATCTGATACCCCCACCAAAATTCACACTTCTTGTGATGGCTCAATGCTTTGGCCTCTCCTTTCTACCTCTCCTTGCGGTCTCGGCTCCTGTTACCCCTACATTCAGCTACCCTGTAATGCTGGAGCTTCTCCAGGACACCCCTCTTCTTCCTGGGCTTGCTGGGCGGACTCGCTCCTATGGTGACGCTAGAGGTCACATCTATGCTCCAAGGTCCATAATACCCACCCGTGTCCTGTGTCCTAGCAACTCACATGCACACCCCTAACCCAACTGGTTGTTTCCTGTCCCCAGCTCCACATATAAGCAGGTATCGCTTTCTCCAGCACACATACCTTCCTTTCTTGAATGGTGACACCAGTGTGTCCCATGTGCCCCTGGCCCTTGCCCAGTCCCATTTCCTGTGTCTTCACTAGACTGTGGCGTTCTTCATAGCAGAAACAGGTGATCCACACAGAAGGATCTCAGATGTACACCTACCCAGGTTCTGTGCACGGGATCTCCCCTCACAACTGCCCAGCACTTTAATAATGCCACACGGAAACACCATAGCACAGACAAGGCTTTATTACTTGGTCCTGTAATATTGAACCCAAGAAATAGAAAAACATCTCCGTAGGTCCTCCAAGGAGCCTCTACCCACAACCAGCCCCTCCCTCCCTAGGTGGGTGACAGGGCAATATGGGTTGCAGGTGACCTCCCTCTGTCCAGTGTGCAAGCCCCATATATAAAAATAGATCTGTGGAGGGTCCCCAGGGACCCAGAACCCTGTATCATGCTGGTGCCTGTGCAGGGCTGAGGCCTGGGCCCCCTCAGGATTCCTAGGACCTCACTCCTCATCAGAGGAGAGGTCTACCCTGGACACCGAAGTCCAGCCAACACAGCCAGGGACCCCTCTGCAAACAGCCAGGGAGGGGAGGAGTTTGACCTTGAGAATGACTGATGTGGCTGGAGATGGGGGACGAGGTTCTGGTCACCCAAGACAGGGCACTGGTCCCCATGAGCCTTGGAGGTTGGGCCAGTTTTCCCTGGAGGGAGGATGAAGGAAGAGCCTGCGGGGGTCGTATCAGTTCCCCAGTTCTGTCAAAGGTGGGTGCAGCATCCCCGTCTACCCCAGTATTCCCGCAGTCACTGAGCTGAGGCAGGTGCCCAGGGAGCAGAGAGCCAGGAATGGGGTAGGCTCTGAGGAGGGAAGAGCTGCTGCTGGCAGGTCAAGGCCAAAGGCACTGCTGGGAGTCACCGCCCCCCTACGGGGTACTCCCCAAAGATGCATCATGGCTTCCAGCCCCCCTCCTCCAGGCTCTCTGTTAAGAGATCCTTGCTTGGATTCTGAGCCTGCCGGTGACTCCATTCACCCTATGGAGAGAACACCCTCCCCCTCAAGGCCTTATTCAATTTGGACTTCATCTAAGAAGCCTTTCTGGACACCCCTCAACACACACATAGCGATAGTCCACCTGCCCCTTCTCCCGGTCCCCTCCCCCCAGGAGGGGGAAGCCCTTCCTTGTCTGAGCCCTCCAAAGATGCACTCTGTAGTCTGCCTTTCTCTCTCCACTCCCACCTGCTCTGTCTCAGCCCACGTCACCCCTCCTCACTACCACAGCAAAAACAGAGCAGGCAGCCATCAAGGGTGGCGTAGACAAACTGTCCAGATCCAGCACGCACCACCCTCCCAGGTAGGCCTTGGTCTCAAGACCTCACAGCTGCCAGGGCCCTTGCAGACAGGTCAGCTCAGCACAGCACTCCTTCAAGAGCGGTGTGCAACGCCCAGGGAGGCCCTCTAGGGAGGGAGCACGGTGAGCCAGTGTACCAAGAAAGACCACAAGGGGCTCACCCAGAGAGGGTTCACTGGGCTGTCCAAGGAAGAGAGCTGGTGCCGTGGAAGGGCAAGCTCTCTCCAGAGCCAGCCTTCTCCCTGGCTCAAGCTCTGAGACTGGAGGCCAGGGTTCAGACCAGCCTGTCAAACTCACTCCTTCCTCAGTCTCTTTCCCCTCCTCTCCACCTTCCAGAATGCAGAGCAAGCCCTCCCCATCAGTTCCAAAACCAATGAGACAGCGGGGCCCAGGGGAGCACCAGGACTTAAGTGTGACCTACTAGGAGGCTGGCCCTCATCCTGAACTGCCAACCCAAGGCAGGAAGCCCCCAGCTCTGGAGTCTCCGCCTGGGAGGGGGGGCAGGATTCAGTCCCTGAGGTCAGCACCATTTGCCTGCTAGGGCCTCGGCACCAGGGTTCAGAGAGATCTAGCCAAGGTGCAGGAAGTAAGGGACACTACCCAGTGGCCCAGGTTCCCATACTCAAGCGCTCAGGCAGCTGTGGTCCCTCTCATAAACAATGGGTCTCTCTCGGGGACCTTTACTGCCTGGCAGGCCAAAAGCTCTCTGAGGAAATGAGATGCCTGCCAATTAGGCCCAACCCCAGTGAGTGTGGAAGACCGAAGGGCCTGAGCAGAACTGAAGCTGTCTTTTCCCAACCAACTTTGCCCTTGACACCCTAACTGTCTTCCTACAGTTATCTCTGGGGTCCTCTCCAGGGATCTGAACCTCCTTTTAGGACCACTAGGTCAACAAGGTATTGAGAAGAAATATGAAATGGAGGGGACAACGCGGTACCAACCAGCTCAGGGCCCTCTAAGGGTACGAGAACACTCCTCCCACCCAAGAGGAGTGTAGCTTGCAAGTCCTTGGGCTGGGTTGAGCTGCTCACACCTGCACCTCCTGACCCTGTAGCTGCAGCCCTCGAGTCTGCAGGGCGCTGATCCCACTCAGGAGGGCTTCTCGATGCTCAGTGGAAGAGATGCCCAGGTTCCCCAGGTCCCTGCAAGAGGAACAGTCACATCCAACTGACCCAGTCCCTCTTCTACTCCTCCCATGGAAGCCAACCCCCTTCCTCCCCTTCTCTGGACAGGGAAAGGGCCAGAACCAGGATAGGTGGGCCCTTCCCATGCAGGTAGGGGCTCTCTTGGGTTCCCTCAATCCTGGCTTCTCAGACTCACTGGGCGGTCATCTCAGCCACAGCCTCCAGGCTCCCATAGCCTGCTGCAGAGAAGTTGTCCTTGTAGCGGCACAGGTCAAGGGCCTCTAGCCAGGCGCCCACAGAACCAAAAGAGGGGAAGGCAGAGAAGGTACGGTCCGCCAGGGGTGTGGGGGGCCTGGGGAGCAAAGAAGCCACAGCCGGAGCATGGCGCGAGACCCAGTCACTCTTGAGAAGCGGCTCAGGAAAGGGCAAGGGGGAAAGTGAGGCAACTATAGCCAGGGATTGACCGTGCCTCGCATGAACACACAAGGGAGGCCCTGGGGAAGAAGTGTCAGGATACTCAAGCAAGTGGAGAGCTGAGCCCACTAAAGGGCAAAATCCAGGACATGACTGCCAGGAGGTGAGCGTCACGCCTGAGCAGGTGGGACAGGGTGGCTGCTTGCAGTCAGGACTCGGGGGAGTGTTTACAGTCAGGGGTGATAGCGTGGTTGGTGGTTGACCGCTCTGGCTTGGGGCTTGGTGAGGATGTACCTGAGACATGTGGTCGCAGCACACTTGGGGAGTTCCGGCTCCTGCCCCATCTTGCTCAGAATGCTGTGGATCTGAGAGAACCTGGGCCGCTCACCGGGGTCCTTCTGCCAGCAGTCAAGCATGAGTCGGTGCAGTGGGGAGGGACAGTTCCTGGGGGGTGGCAGCCGGAAGCCATCCTCCACAGCCTTGATCACCTGAGTTCCAGAGATGGGGAGCAGACAGGATGCTTCAGATTGCCCAGTGTGTGCGCACGCGCACACACACACACACCACAACCACCACCACCCTCATCCCAAGGAGGACTTCAGACAGGATGGGAGTGAAAGAGATGTCTGAGGCTAAGAGGTCAAAGATTAATGTACAGAGGTCAGGGAGCTGGAGCCACAGGTCACTTACATCTTGTCCAGACATGTCCCAGTAGGGTCGTTCCCCAAAGGCCATCACCTCCCACATGACAATGCCAAAGCTCCATACGTCACTGGCAGAACTGAAGTGGCCAAACTGAAGTGTCTCTGGAGCTGCCCAGAGTGCTGGGCTCCTGCCACTCTATAGGCAGGTAAGCAGGGCAGGGCAGGGCAGGGCAGGAAAGCATTGTGTCACCAGCAGGCCACATCCAGGCAGGCCACCAGCACCTATAGCCAGTCCCCCACCTCTTCACATCTGAGGAAGCTGCCAGTTGACACCCAAGGGGAGGGACCAGGCAGGGAATGACCACCAGCAGCAGGGAAAGGGACAGAGCCAAGATACAGAGAGCATGGGGCTGCTGGGTGTGGCCAGTGGGAGAAGCAGCAGGTGCACCAGAGAAGGGAGCCCCTTACCATGGTGGTGTAGACCGCCTCTGCACGGTCCCGGGGACCCCGCCCAAAGCCAGAGATCTTACAGACGAGGCCACTGCTGACCAGTACCCGGCGGGCTGCCAGGCCTCGGTGAACATAGCCCATCTCCGACAGGTACTTCATGGCCGAGGCCAGCCCCGGCAGCAGAGCCATCAGCTGGGCAACCATCAGCTCCCCCTCATGATGCTGTGGAACGGGTGAGGGCAGAAGCCAGAGCTGAAGCCAGGAGGCCACTAAGTCCCTCTGGGATCGGTGTGCTGTGGGCATCAGGTCAGCCTGTCTAGTGGGAGCAATGGCAAACCCAAGCCCCCAAGAGAAAAGGGAAGGGCCCAGAAAACTAGGACATTGATCCTCTCCCACCCAGGGCTCTGACCACTCACCCTGAGGAAGTCATCAAGGGCTCCAAGGTTCATGTACTCAGTCACAATCATCAAGGGGTTTCCTGTTGTTGGGAGAGACACACTAAGTTGACGGCTCTGCCCTACGCACTCCCCTCCCCTGCTCCAGCTTCACCTCAGCCAAGACAGCTAGAAGCAAAGTCAAGTTTTCTAATCTTGCCACCCACCCAGTCCCACCCCCACCCACCAGAAGTCAGCTAAGAAAGATCATTCAAGGGGAAAGTGATCCACTCCCCAAAGGTCACTGCAAGTTGGAAAAGGTCATTCTGGGTCAGCATGGCCACTCCAGGAGAGGGGCCACCCTGAGACATAAGTGAAGGCCAGCTAAGGATGTGCCTGGGCCTATTCCACAGACCAGAAAGGGCAGCCCACCCAGTACCCGGCTAAGTACAGGGATGCGCAGTGCCAGGCCTACCTCGGGTGACAACGCCTTCCAGGCGCACAATGTGGCTGTGGTCAAACTGCCCCAGAGTGAGGGCCTCAGCCAGGAAGCTGAGCCTCTGTGAGTCCGAGCAACCATCCCTCAGAGTGTGTACGGCCACGGGCAGCCCCTGGCGACCAGGCAGCTGCAGGCAGCCACAGCACAGGTCCCCGAATCGCCCTGTGAAGAAAGGCACCTCAGACTCCTGCCAGCAAATCGGAGAGGCTGAACCAAGGAGAAGGTGGCTCTGGGTCACGGGGTTGTTTCCAGTTTCCTGTGGGAAGCTCCAGAGGTAAAATCTCAGCACCCTGAGTACATGCATTGTAACCTTGGGCTTCATCTCTTCCTTTCCTCTTGGCCTTGGTTTCCTTCTCCACGACACACAAAGAGAGTAATTTTGCATGTACCTGCCCACCCGAGGTTCTTTAAACCTAGCAAAGCCATCTATTCTGCCCTACAGCTCCTTCCTGGCTTCTTGTGTGGTTCCTTGTACGCCTGGTTTCTTGGAACACAAGCAAGGCCCTGCCCTGATCCTGGGGAGTTCCCACAGCAGTCTTTTAGGTGAGAAACTGAGGCTCAGATGAGAAGAGGATGAACCTCTAGTCACTCAGCTGGTCCATGGTCAGACTTCAGGTGTGTCTGGACCACAGCTTACTGTAAAGACCTCTCCTTGCTGTCCCAGAAAAGCCTGGGACTAAACTGAGTGCCTCTCGGACAGGACACTATCCAGAAAAGATGCTGAACGCAGGTGTCCCACAGTGGCTTAGGGAACAGATGTGAGAGGGCAGAGCCACAGCCACCTCTGGTAGATGATAGGCATTCCGGGAAGGGGTACCCAAGGTGCAGAGGCAGGGCCTCTTGCCAGGGGGTGAGGACTTGGGGTTGGGGGGAAGTTGGCTGAAAAAGAGCAGGGATAGCAGAGATGCGGGGCTTTCCCCAGTGGGTGTTGCCTGGTGGGCGGGGTTTATCCAGTGGGCGGAGCTCCCTGGCGAATCCAGGCTTCTAGGGTCCAGAGCTTGCCTGCTCCCAAGCTCTTCTCCAGGGTGACGCTTTTGGCGTCTAGCTCCTTGGCGAATAGATGCACCGCCTGCAGAGGGTCCCCGCAGCTTTGGGGGTCCAGAAACGTGCGGCGTGTCGGGACTTTGACTGAGAACATAGGGAGAGAAAGACAGCCTGAGGAAACGGGCCTCACTGCTGGGAAGGGGCCAAAGACAGAGGTATGTGGCGGGCACAGACGACTCACAGTGGAAATAGAGTTCCTCCTCGTCGTGGGCGTCCCCACCTCCTTTGCCATCGCAGGGCCTGTGGGGACGCAGAGGCACCCTTTCACCAGGCGACCCCAGCCCTTCCCACTTCACCAGCGCCCAGGGCAGCACCTCTTGGTCCCTTGAGAAAGAAAAGCTCTGTGCCCTTTCTGGGGAAGGACTTTCTCGTCCTGCTGGCTGGGAGGCTGGCCACTGCCTCCCAAGTGCTGAAATTAAAGGTGTTTGCCCACCATGCCTGGCTCGCTAAGCCATTTTACAGCACACCTCCCTTTTCTTTCTTTCTTTTTTAACACTGTAATCTTTACAAAATTATTTACACGCCTGTGTGTGTGCATGGGCACATGCTGGGGCAGGCACTTCTGTGGAGGTCAGAGGACAACTTGAGGAGACAGTTTCTCTCCTTCCACCCTGTGGGTCCCCGGGATTCAATCTGGGTCACCAAACTTGATGACAGTTGCTTTTAACCCACTGAGCTACCTTCATTGAAAGGTTCTCTTTCCTTCCTTCCTTCCTTGCTTCCTCCCTCCCCTTCTCGCTTCACTTTTCGCTGCCTCAGACACCTCTCTGTGGTTTGCAGTCCAAACACCTCCTCCCCTCAGCACATGGACAACCCTAAGATTGAAGATCTCTAGGTCTTCAATCCCATCACCGTGTCCAGTGCTGTGCAGATCAACACTCCTGGCAAAAAGCCCCATGCTGCCCTGTCAGGAACAACAGGCTGATCCTTCCTGAGCCGGAGGCAAAGCCCATGGCAGTCTGGACCTAGAGCTTTCCCAGCTGTGAAGCCTCCGGCTTTTGTTCTGGGAGCAAAGGAAAGCCCCTGTCCTGATTCAGTTTCCATTGTATATGATTCCCCCCCTCCAGCTTCATTTGAGAAAGAAGATCTGGGCTGCCAAAGGGAGCCACTCTATAGTCCCCTCAGGAGAGGGCAGTAGCTTGAGCTATGAGATGGCTAATCCAGGACAGAGGTAAGAGAACTGCGGAGGGACAAGAAGACAGCAGGACCACAGGGCTTGGAGATTGCAGATAGCCGGAAAGAAGAGTGAGGAGTTGCCCAGACTGTTCGTGGAGAGCCACTGCCAAGCAAAGCAAGGGGAAGTTCAGGCTCAGACAACTGAGCTCCTGAGATAGTGGTAGACGCAGGGGAATCTAGGAAGGGGGTGGTTCCTGATGGATGGATGTTTCTGGAGCTTGGAAGGTGGAGCCTCTGAAAATACAGATGCAGGGACTATGAACTCTGCCCAGGGAGATGAGGGAGCCTGAAAGGAGGGTCTGGGAAGAATTAGGCTGGATTGGGGGTGGGGGAAGAGGGAAGAAAGCTGCAGAAGAGGAACACAGAAGAATAGAAGGGGCAGGAGATGAGCTGTCACAGGAACCAAGGAAAGAAAGAGAAAGCAGGGAAGGAGACAGGAAGAAGGGCTGGGAAATGGTTTGTGAAAGCGGCTTGTCCCAGGAGATAGTCAGGAAAGGACTCTGAGGCCTGCTGCCTTGCAATCTGACTGTGTGCTCTCGCGTCCGAGCGACCCCACGCAGTGGCTGTGGGACTGGATGGCTCATTTTTTTTCTATGTAATAAAATCATAATAAAGACAGCCCTGCCTAATAGCATTGTGTTAATGAAGAGCTTACTGATACAGTACGGGGTATTTTGTTTGTTTCTTGTTTTGAGACAGGGTTTCACTATGTAGTCCTGGCTGTCTTGAAACTCCATGTGTAGAACAGGCTGACCTCAGAGGTGTGCCACCATATCTGGCATATAGTGTGGATTTGGACTGACCCTCACAGCTTGAGCATTAAATGACTTGGTCCATAGCCTGGGATGATAAAGGGAGGTGATAGAACCTTTGGGATATGTGGTCTTAGAGAAAAAAAAATTGGGTTATAGAGGGCATGCCCTTTAGGAGAATATCGTGATCCCAGTCTCTCCCTGATTTGCTACTTCCTGGCTTCCTGTGAAGTAAGCAGCCACCTCTGCTGCAAGCTCCTACTGTGATGACTTGCCACCCGCAGGACCAAGGCCAAGTGGCCACGGACCAAACTTTTGAAATTGTGGGCCCCAAATTTATTATTATTATTATTATTGTTGTTGTTGTTGTTGTTGTTGTTGTTTTAAGACAGGGTTTCTCTGTATAGACTTGGCTGTCCTAGACTCAATTTGTAGACCAGGCTGGTCTTGAACTCGGAGATCTGCCTGCCTCTCCCCACCAGAGTGCTGGGATTACAGATGTGTGCCACTGTGCCTGGCTCCTTTTCTTTCTTACAGGTTGACTATCTTACACATTTTGTTACGGTAACAGATGGCTGACACACTTTCTAAGCTTCTGTGTGTGGTGGTTTAGACGAGAATGGCCCCCATAGTCTCATATATTTGAATGCTTTGTCCTGCCCCCACCCCTGTTGGTGGAACTCTTTGGGAAGGATCAAGGAGGTGTGGCCTTGTTGGAGTATGTGTGACCTCTCTGGAGGCGGTGTGCCACTGAGGTCGGGCTTTGAGGTTTCAGTGGCCTCTGCCACTCCCAGGTGTCTCTCTCCCTCTCTGCCTTGCGCTGTGGGTCAGAGGTAAGCTCTCAGCTTACGTGTCATGCCTGTCTGCCTGCTGCAGTGCTCCCCACCAGGATGGTCATGGACTCTTTCTTCTAAGTTAAGTTGCTTTGGTTGTGGTGTCTTAGCAGAGCACTAGAAAAGTAACTAAGACACAGTGATCTCATGGGAGGGAGGGATTGACATTATGAGTCCCTGGGGTGGTGAGAGGGGAGGGGACTCCATTCTGAGCAGAAGGACTGATCCTGTCTTGAGAGAGCTTGTGAGGTGGGTAGGTTTCCAGCCTTGGTCATGAGCATGGAGGGGCCATGGATGATGCTGGAGAATAGGGCAGCAGACATGGCTGGGAGAGTAAGTGGCAAGGACACATGGTCTTCGCGGACACAAAGTACAACTGTGTTGTGCACCTGATGGCAGAGCATTCCCAGAGAGAACGGCCAGGGGCTTCAAGAGACAGAAGAGAGGAGCCTTAGGCATAAAACCCTGAGAAACAAAGAGGTGAGGCTGGCCATCCAGGAGCTGCTGAAGTCACCCAGAGTGATGACTGATGGAGTCCTACACAGGACAGGGAACTTCCAGACAAGATGAGTAGAGATGAGGGAAGGCTGAGTGGATGCAAGAGCAACAGGGGAACCAGAATTAATAGTACACTATGAAATAAAGTCTATATGAAATGTTATAATGAGGGCTCGGGATACGGCTCAGTCCACTTCCAGAGGACGAGTTCCTAGGTTCAGTTCCTAGCACCCACATTAGGTGGCTCACAACCATCTGTAACTCTAACTCCAGAGGATATGATGCCTTTACACACACACACACACACACACACACACACACACTATATATATATATATATATATATATATATATATATAATACCCACACAGCATTCACTCTTACACGTAAATAAAAATACACATATAATATATATTACACTTACACACACACACACAAAGGGCTGGAGAGATGGCTCAGCGGTTAAGAGCACTGGCTGTTCTTCCAGAGGTCCTGAGTTCATATTCCCAGCATCCACATGGTGTCTCACAACCATCTATAAAGGGACCTGATATCCTCTTTTAGCATGCAGGTGTAAGTGCAGACAGAGCACTCATACATTAAATGAACAAACAACCAAATAAATAAATAAATATACATATAAATTTGTAAATAACCCTTTAAAAAGAAAATCTTGTAATTAATCTGCTACTTAGTATGCTAATTCACCTCCTTGTTCTCTCCACTGAAGGACAGTTTGACTGAAGTCTGTAGCTGGACTGTAGCTGCCCCTGACCTACTCCAGAGTGTCTATCTCTCTCTGCCCTGACTCCACAGCCCTGATAGTTAAAGCCAGAGTGTAATGCCCCCAAGCAGCTGCCCTTCCTTGCTTTTCCAACAGACCCAGAACATGGACCTGAAGTTAAGCTCCATGAAGAAGGAGCTCCCTGCTCTTAGCCTGCCTCTCCTCCTCCTCTTCCTCCCCCAAACCCTTTTGAGACAGGGTCTCTTCCTTGTGCTATGGCTATCTTAGACTTCTCTATATAGATCCAGGGTGGCTTTGAACTCACAGAGATGTCCCTGCCTCTGCCTCCTAAGTACTGGGATTAAAGGAGTGAGCTTGTCCTACCTTCTTGAATCACCTGGCCCAGACACAAAGGGCTCTGAGATCTGCAGGATGGTCACCCGCCCTCCATTACTGCCAGTGCTTTGGTCAAAGCCATGCTCATAACCAGTATCAAAGAAACACTCACTGTCCCTCTGGCCCACAGGTGGCTTCCCAGCCAGGCCACTCTTCCACTACACCCAACTGCAACACTAGCTCTGCCAACCACCACTCCAGACTTCAACTGCCTGGGGTGGGGGTGGGGCCCTGGGCATGGCAGTACAGCCCTGGGCGGGGTGGGAAACACACTGCACAGGAGCCTCTGCTCCACGCAAAGGAAATGAAATCTTCTTCTAACCAGAACCAGCCAGCGCCCCCTCCCCCCACCCCGCTCTCTCCCTCCCTCCCACCATTTCTCTGCCTGCAAGGTTCTTTGGAGACGGTGAGGGACATGGCTCAGACTGATGAGTTTCCCTCCCTGTCCCTCTCTCCCACCCACTTACTGACTTTTTCCTCTTTGCTTGTATTCAAGGGGCTTCAGATCCCTTGGGGGGCCAGAGCTGGGGGCTTTCTACTGCCTCGGGAGAATCCTAATCACACTGGAGCAGCTGGAGCTTGATTTCCACCCTCAGCGATGCCTTCTGACATTTAATGAGTTAAGGAGCTAAATCCCCTTCATCCCAGCACGGCTGAGCTGGCTGCAGTTCCTGCAGCTGGTTTGTGAGCAGCACGTGGGGGAGGGGCCGTACTGGCCACACTACTGTCTTTACGAAGGGAGGGGAAGTAAGACAAGGGTCTTGTGTAGCCCAGACTGGCCTCAGATTTTATGTGTAGCTGAAGTAGGGCTTGAACCCCTGACCTCTCTGCCTCTACCACCTAAGGGCTGGGGTTGCTGGCTCATGTTCCCTGGGGTTGGAGGCTCTGGGTTGCATGCAGCCGTGAGCATTTATAGGTACTTGCGTGTACATATTTTATACTCGTGGGGACAGAACCCTCCAGAAGCCACCAAGGTGACACCAGCTACCCACCTCCTCCAGATGGCCAGCACAGTCAGGATGACACCAGCTACCCACCTCCTCCAGATGGCCAGCACACTCATCACAGAGCCCAGGACCAGGAGGGCTGAGATGGTAACTACGGTGACAACCACTGCAGGGCTCTGATCCCTGGACCCAGAAGCAGCTATGGAAAACAAAACAAAACAAAACCAAAAAAAAAAAACAGGGAGCTGAGGCAGGTACCTCGGCAAGCACGGAGAGACTTGTTTCAACCATTAGGAAGATCCCTCATCCCCTCGGCACACAGTAGCACCAATGCCCACAGTGGCAATTGGAGTTCCAAACACCTCTGCTTGCAAGCAGGGCCTCTCTACTGCAGCCCAGCTCTGAGAGGAGGCAAGGGTCCAGGCAGCCAGGGCTAGGCTCCCCTTATGTCTTTCAAGAGGGCTAGAGACTTCCAAATGGTCTATGAGGTCACAGCATCTTTTCTGAGTTCCTTTCCCAACGTTTCCAACAGCAGTACAATAACATTGAACACATCTGTGTCTAAGACAGGCTGCTTTGTGCATGAGCTATACTATCCTGTCTCACTACAACAGTCCTGCAAGGTTTACTGTCTCCAGTTCAAGCAGAGGAGACAGGTTAAGGAAACTTACCTGATTTGTCCAAAGTCACATAGCTCCTTACTGGTAAACTCTGGATTTTTTCGAGGTTTTGCTTTGTTTTTGAAATGCCTTGTAGCCTTGGCTGGCCTCCAACTCTTGTAGCAAATGATGACTTTGAACTCCTGACCTCCACCTCCCGAGCACTGAGATTATGGTCATGCACCACCACACTCCGGTGAACCAAGATTGGAATCTGTCCCCCAAGTCATCTGCCTAATGCCAAAGCAGCTTTGAAACTGGACAGATCCCCACAGGACCCCGATATTCATAAAGAGGTGCACAGGCCCAGACTGAGAGACAAAACTAAATGAGTTAATAAGCAATACTTAACTATAGAAAAAAACAAAACCAGAGAAAAAGGAGTTGAGCAGAGCAGAGGCCAATGCTTCCTTCCTGAGGTCAGAGAGGAAGCGGGAATAGGGGAAAGTGTGAGTGTGTGTGTGTTTGGGGTGGGGGGTGTTGCTGGAAGAGTGAAAGGTTCTGCATCCCAGGCCCATCTGCACAAGTGCAGCCTGGGAAATGGCAAGCAGCCCACAGAACTGGAAGATACAGTGTACAGAGGCAGAGGATAACGGGATGGAAGCCGAGTGTGGGAATGGAGGGAACTTGGGGAACGAGAGAGCTCTGGATGCAGGCTAGGGAGAAAGAATGATCCTGGGGCTCATTAGGAGTGGTGGACAGATGCCCACCTGGCTAGAGAGGAGAGGACAGAAGCAACCTATGGAACTGGAAATGAGGACAGGGAGAAAGAATAACTACAGAACACTCAGTAGCTGTCTGTGTCTGCTGGGGGTCCAGGGGAAGGAGGAACAGGGTGGGTCAAGCCTGGGGACCAGGGCAATGTGGCCAATCACACAGGGTGTGATGAGGTAGGCTTTGGTTCAGATGGCTTCTGCCACGCAAATGCTTTTCTACTCACGTCCCTGTTCAAATATCCCCCAGCCTCAAGACACAGCTGGAATCTCCTCTTCCCAGCATCTGAGCCAAGGCCAAACACAAACAGGCATTCCAGCAAGGTGTGCTGTCTGTCTGTCTACCTTCCCGGAACCAGTCTACCTCCACATTTCAGCTTCACCTCCCTTTGGGCTCCCAGTGTTTCCTATCTTGGATTACAGTCATGTAGCAGGTTGGAAAGAATTCTTATCTTGACAGCTGGTGCCAGAATGCCTCTTAGGGGGAGCTGCGTTTGCTGGGGAAAATACTTCCATGAACTGAGCAGGGTAGATGGAGGTGAGATCCTGAGGGCTGTAGCCACAACAGGCTGAGCAAAAAAGAGGGGGCAAAGCTGCTGGCACTCATGCTTGAAAGGGAATGGGGAGGAAGGGGAAGGCAGGAGAGCAGAGGGGAAGAAGCCAGCCCAGCACCAGGAAACAGGAATTTTGAAGTACAGCTTTTCCTTTGTTGTTGAAACACCTCTCACTTCTCCTTCCCTTCCTTCCTTTCCCTCCCTCTGTCCCTTTCTTGTTTCTTGAGCCAGGATTTTATGTAGCCCAGGCTAGCCTCAAGTTCTTGGTTTCCCCTTCCCTCCCAAGGGCTGGGATTATAAGCCTGCACCACCAGCTCAGCTATTTATGACAGTCTAGGCCAACCTTGAAATCTGTGTAAGAGGCACTTGGCCTTGAATACCTCTTGACTTCCCCTTCTCAAGCTTTCCAAGTGCCCAGGTGGCCTGTTCCACCATGCCCAACTTCCATTCTCTCCATTTCATTTAAACCGTGCAGGGCTCACTTTGACCCTTTCCAGGTCTCCTCCCCTTCAGGGAAGTTGGTTTCACATGCTAAGCCTGGCTGGGGGTTGGGGTGGGAGGCAGTGTCCCATGACAAAGTGGACCTTTGTTAAGGCAGAAAGAAAAGCAGCGGGAAGGACTCAGCAAGGCCCAGAAAGAGGTGACAGAGAAGCTGAAGAAAGCAGCTGGGTCTCAGGGTGGTCAACACAGGATGTTTCACAGAAGCTGTGTCCTCCAAAGAGGGGCACAGGTGTCACAGCTGTCCCCAAGGCCTCTGTAGGGACAGCTCTCTGTGCTTCAGGGAAGATGCCCCGTGGGCCACTGCAGGTGGATCTCAAATTCTTTGACTAAGTAGATGTGAAGTGGCTCTTTTTAGTTGGTTGGTTTTTGCTGTTGTTGGTTTTTGTTTGTTTGTTATTGTTGCTGTTTTGGTTTTTAGAGACAGGGTTTCTGTGTGCAGATCTGGCTGTCCTGGAATTCACTCCCCCTGTCTGTGCTGGGATTTAAGGTGTGAGGTGAGACACTACCCATCTTGAAGCAACTTTTCTGCGGCTCCCTTCCTGATACACTTAACCCCTGCCCTTGTCTCTGCGGGCCAACACCCGGTGCCCTCCAAGCACTCTGCTTACCTTCGCCAGGGGTCTGCACTTCAATGCTGGGGCTGAAGCTCTGGGCCTCCCATGAAGGCCCCGGGGAGGCTGCCCGGATCTGAAAAACGTATCTGGTAGCAGGCTTCAGGTTGGTGACAGTGACGGCCGGGGCCCCTGTCTTCACTGTGGAGTAAGTCTGCTCACTCTGACCCTGGGGAGGACGGAGCAGTGAGGCCCAGACCCAGGAGGCTGAGAGGAGGTGAGGAACCACCCTTAAGCTGGTTGGGGGAACCTGACCCAGATCACCTTGAGAGACAGCAGAGATTTCTTCCACAGGATCCCCAGTGCCTCTCTCCTCAAGACTCATCCCACAATAGGCCAGAACTTTCTTTGCAGGGGTACCCGGGTGGTAGCTACCAGGGCTTGACAGTCCAGGGGCGGGGGGAGGGGGAGGTAGGCCAGAGCACAAGCAAGCCTCCCACTTCCCCTACCCTGTCCTTGACATTCACAAGGTTTTTCATCTCCCTGTCATCTGATTTGCAAAGCAGAGGAGAGCAAGGATTATCTTATTGGCTTTGCTCTGTTTTGTTTCACAGATGAGGAGCCTGGGCTTAAGGGGGTAAAGGCATGCTTAGCTGGAGGCAGGGGAGAAAGCCTGTGACTGGTGAGGGCCTGCCTCCTGGCTGCCAGGCACTGTGCTGTGATTTCTGCTGCCTGCCACCCCCACCCGCAACCCCAGCGACATTTCTCTCTGCTTGGTAAGGGAGGCCCTTAAATCCTTCAGACCTCTAAATCCTTCAGGTCTGAACTTTGCCGTACCCCAGTACACCTGACCCCCAAAAGTCCTTGAAGGCTCCCCTCTTCGTTTGTTTCTGCTCACACCTTATTAGAGCTCCAGCCACACCCACAGCCTGAAAGTTAATTTCCTGCCTATAGCCAGTGATTTTTTTTTTTTTTTAACTTTGACTATGGTGTTCACGGCCACAGGGCAGACTTTAACTCAGTAAGAACTCATCGGAATCTCCCTTGACCCTCCAAACAGTTGAACAGTCTTTGGGGTAACCGTTACTTTACATATGTCTGCCTGTAGCCCCTGAACCTGGAGCTTGCTCATTAGACTAGCCTGTGAAGAGCTTAAGATAGCCTAAATATAACTCCATTTTGAAATAAAGATCTTGACTGGGAACTGAATTCAGGTACCAGGAAATATCACAGAATGTACACCTGGCAGAAAACAAAGTTAACTCTCCTAGCAACAGCCTCCAGGAAATATAACAGAATAAATGCTTCATAGAAAATAGAGACAAACTCCCTGGCAATAATCAATGGGAATCAGTTGAGAATCGGGTGGGAAAATTCTCCCCAATGTTTCAGATATGGTTTAGAAAAATAGCCATTGTGATTATATGCCTTAGCCATTGTGATTATGTGCCTCAGAAAAGGTCACCCCGCCCTGCTAAACTTCACCCAATTCTGTAACGCCAAGGCTTGTGCCCCCCTGCTTGCTGCCATGGAAACCCCCGGCTCACAGACTTTCCCTTTAAAAATCCTGTTCACTCAGAGCTCGAGGTCCCACTTCTCTACTGCTGCGCCAGTGAGATTTGGGTCCCGAGTTCGATCGCTCTCGTAATAAAGCTCTCTTGCAATTGCATCGAGTCGTCTCCTGGTGGTCTCTGAGGGTCCCGTGAACCTGGCATAACATTTGGGGGCTCGTCCGGGATGCCTCAAGACCTCTAGGACTCCTGGCCCGGAGAGCTTAAACCCAAGGGTAAATGTCTTCTATGTTGTCCATCTGCTTTAAATGTTTGTTTGCCTTTATTCTTTGTTTCTTATCCTGAAAAGCTTCGAGGTGCTTACGGGAGCAGCCAGATTAGGTATGACAGACATGTCGGGGCCTAGGCTGTGGGGGCTTCAAAAGACGTTTTGATGTCCTGAAATTTCTGCCTCCTCGGGACCCCTGGGATAGGGGGACTGGAGTGAGGATCTGTTTCTGCCTCTGGAGTGAAGATCGGTTTCTTGGAACTTCTGTGGCAGAGAAGTCCAGGTTTTGTCTGTTTCTGCCTCCTCGGAACCCCTGGGATAGGGGAACTGAAGTGAGGATCTGTCTTTACCTCCTTGGAACTCCTGGGATAGGGGAACCAGAGTGAGGATCGGTTTTCTGGAACTTCTGTGGCAGAGAAGTCCAGGTTTTCAGTGTTACTTGGTTTCTGTGTGTGATTAATTGTTCCCCCCCACCTTGGTGTTGTGCCTGGAGTTACTGTTTAATTTTTGTGATTAATTGTTTGTGGTTTTTCGTCTACTTGAGAGTGCTTGATTTTAACTTTTGTTTAAAACTGCAGCTGTTTTCATTTCTATGATTTCAGTTTTGTCCCGTGATGTTAGCCAGGGTATAGGCTGTAAGTTGTTGCCTTTGGTTTTGTTTTTGTCTGAGACAACCGGTTCTTTTTTGTGTATGAGTGATTTACTATTTGTTGAAATTGTTTTCCTTACTTCTTTTGCGTTCTCCTGAATTCTCTTGACAAATAGACTGACTGACGATATGGGACAGAATACCTCCAAACCTCTTGACTTGATTCTGACTAATTTTGGAGAAGTTAAAACTAGAGCTCACGGTCTTTCAGTTGATGTGAGGAAAAAAAATGACTTTTTTTGCAGCTCAGAATGGCCCACCTTTAATGTGGGCTGGCCACCAGAAGGAACCTTCCACCTTCCCACCATCTTAGCAGTGGAAGATAAAGTTTTTCAGAAAGCATGCACGCACCCAGATCAGGTGCCATATATTGTAGTTTGGAAGAACTCATCCACCTCCGTGGATTAAGCCCTTTCTGATTCCCACTAACAATTCTCCTTCCATAGAATCTCAGGAACCAGAGGCCACTGCCCTGGCTACATAGACCCCCCCCCCTTAATCTGTTTTGCAGGATGGGACTCCCATGGAAATAATTTTTCCACCTCCTCCTCCTCCCACTCCTCAACCAACTCCTGCTCCTTTATCCAGGTTGGAACCACCATCTGGCCAAGCGCCAAGGATCCAAAGACTCCATGCAGCTTCTCCCTCTGGGGAACCAGAGGCAGATTCTACAGTCCTTCCCTTACGGGCCACGGGGCCCTCCAGATGCTAATGGCAATCAGTCTCATTATTGGCCTTTTGCTACATCACAGGTTTAACTGGAGAACTCAGAATGCCAAGTTCTCTGCTTTTTACCCACCAGCCCACCCAGGACGATTGCCAGCAGCTTTTACAGGTCTTGTTTACCAAGAGGAGTGGGGACGTATTATTTCAGAGGCAGACAAAAATGTCCCAGACACTATAGGAGTTCCAACTACAGATCCCATATTGATGATTACTTTCCCTATGAGAGTCCCAATTGGGATTACAACATGACTACAGGTAGGGAACATCTCCTAGTCTACTATCAGGCTCTGTTGGCAGGTCTCAAGGTGGTCACAAGACGGCCCAATAATTTGGCCAAGATGTACAGAAACAGGAAAGAATAGGCCAGCATTTGTGTCCAAGGTAAGTCAGAATGTAGCTAAGTTTATTGGGGCAGATTGGAGATTGCATTGTGCATATAGGCCCCAAAGTTCAGGACAGGTAAAAAGGATGAACAGAACATTAAAAGAGACCTTAACAAAATTGACCTTGGAGACTGGTACTGACTGGGTGATGCTCCTCTCCATTTCCCTTTATAGGGTTAGGAATTCCCCTTACCAGCTAGGTTTAATTCCCTTTGAGATTATATATGGGATGCCAGCCCCTATAGTACCCAACCTTAAGATTGATGTTACTGCTGAAATGGATTAAAACAGGTTTTGAGAAATGTTTAAGGCTTCTGTGCAAGCAGGCAGCTCTTAAAGGGGCAACAGCAGCTTCTTAGGTTAAAAAAAAAAAAAAAAAAAAAAAAGGCTGCAAGCCTCTATGGTCATAAAAATTGGATTTAACAGGTAACCAGATGTTCCTCCCTTGACATTACAGCTAAAGGAAATAAAAATAAGTTTTGTAATTTTGTTTGTTTGTTTTGAATATATAAGTTAACTATGTTCTATATATCTTGATATATGTTATTGATTATTAAGTATATTAATAATCAATACTGCACATAATTTCTGTCCTGTTTTAAAAACCAGGATTATAAAAATAATAAGGTGTAAAACTATGTTTATATAAAATATTAAAAGTGCACCTTCATGAGTTTATATATAGGAACTTCTTTTGCTGGCAGTGAACATCAAAATAATACATTTAATATTGATTTTAAAAGTACTGAATTGTTTGCATTGATAAAATTTGGTTTTGCCTTTTAAAATTATGGTTATACTTTGTGACTTTATTCCTAAAAAGGATACCTTATTTTGATATTTCAAAAACAGGTTTAAAAAAAAATAACTATGTTTAAGGCAATAAAACATTTTAAAGTTTATCGTGTATTTTAGACAATGACCTTAGGCATTCTAACAGAGAACTTGAAACAGTTTCTCAATCCTTTGGGGGAGAACAAAAGACTTTGATATTTGTTTTGTTAATTTTACCAAATAAAATTCTCCCCAATGTTTCAGATATGGTTTAGAAAAATAGCCATTGTGATTATGTGCCTCAGAAAAGGTCACCCCGCCCTGCTAAACTTCACCCAATTCTGTAACGCCAAGGCTTGTGCCCCCCTGCTTGCTGCCATGGAAACCCCTGGCTCACAGACTTTCCCTTTAAAAATCCTGTTCACTCAGAGCTCGGGGTCCCACTTCTCTACTGCTGCACCAGTGAGATTTGGGTCCCGAGTTCGATCGCTCTCGTAATAAAGCTCTCTTGCAATTGCATCGAGTCGTCTCCTGGTGGTCTCTGAGGGTCCCGTGAACCTGGCATAACACCTGGGTGATCAGCGAGCTCTGGGGATCCTTCTGTCACTATCTCCCCAGCGTTAGGATTCCAGGTGTGTGGGTGCTGGGGGTTCAACCCACTCGTGGCAAGTGTTTTACTCTCTGAGCCAGCTTCCCAGCCCATTATGGTTAATAGTTGCTGTCAGCCTAACGGAGTATGGAGGCTCTGGGTACATCCATTCTACAGACATTAAACTGAGGAGGGGAGACCCGCCCTGAATGACATCATCCTCAAGGGCTGAAAAATGTGAGCCTAGGGCCAGCATTCCTCTCTCTGCTTCCTGAGGGCAGACAGCACCTAGCCTTTCCCACCAGGGTGAACCACATCCTCAAGCTGCAAGCTAAAATAAGCCCTTCTTTTCTTAGGTTGTTCTTCTCTGGCATTTCATCATATCAGTGTAACTAATTCACCTAGAAAGACAGAGGCACTCGGGGAGGCAGAGGCGGGCAGATCTCTGTGAGTTCGAGACCAGCCTGGTCTGCAAAGTGAGTCCAGGACAGCCAAGGCTACACAGAGAAACCCTGTCTCGGGGGGCAGGAGGTGGGGAGAGACAGAGGCAACAGCTGTAGGGCTGGCAAAATGGGGTGGGCACCACACGAGCTACAAGCAAGTCCTTCTGCACAGGGGGCTGGGCTGAAGTATAGAGGGAGGTTCTGCAGAAGGCACTAGGGCTCCAGAGAAAAGTCTTAAACATCTGTCTCTACCTCGTGACCCAGAATCATCTCAAATATAGTCCCCGTGGTACTTGCTGTTCTTTCAGGGGCCTTATGTCCCTAGTATGTTCATTCACAGTCCTTGATTAAGGGCCAGGGGGCCATCCGGCAGCTCAGCCTTGAAGACTCTTGTCCATGCTTAGACAATGAAGTGCTTTCTTTCTTTCCATTTTTATTTTTCTGAGACAGTTTTTCTGTGTAGCCTCGGCTACCCTGGACTCATTTTGTGGACCAGGCTGGCCTCGAAAAGATGAGATCACAGAGATCCTCCTGCCTCTGCCTCCCAGAGTGCTGGGATCACAGGCGTGGCCACCAAGCTCGGAATATGCATCTTTTCTAAGCACCTGTTGAATACACTGCTCTCTCCCAGTGCTCCTCACTGCTGTCACCTAAACACGAGGGCTCCTGCCCTGGCCACTCTTCTCACAGACACCCCTCCCTCCGCTGTCATCTCTATGTTCAAAGTTCTTCCCCCAGCCCCATCTTTCCAGCCCACAGCTTTGATCTGAGCTTCTGACACACAGGAAGTCCACCTGGCTGGCTGACATGCCTCCTTCAGAGCAAGACCCACTTGCTCTCCCTCCATGCTTCTCTACCTCACAGCCAGCAGCTCTCCATCCTCAGCACCCAGTCCCATGCCTCCAAAAGCGACCTAGTAACCCTATTTTTTTTTCCTGGGCATCACAATTGTCAGAGCTCTCAACAGACTTCTAGTAATCAAAGCCATTATCTGATTCAGCAAAGCCCTGCCTGCCGCAGAGGGAGTGGAATTCTGTCACACCGGGAAGGAGTTTCTCTTTAATGAATTAATTTGCATAAAAGTGAGGCACTGTCTAACAGATGAGCACGTCTCAGAGTTAAAGACGCCAAATAGATGGGAAAAGAGAGCATGGGCTGGGAAATAGCTCCATTCATCAAATCACAGCCAAACTGTAACCACTGATTAAAAATTCGTACAGGAAGAGAAAGGCGGGCATGGAGGCACGTGCCTGTCTATAATCCCAGCACTTGGGAGGTGGAGGCAGGAGGCTAGCTTGGGCTACATAAGACCCAATCTCAAAATAAAAGTAAATAAACCACCAAGAAAAGAGGAGGATATAAGGTTGTTTGTGAGGATGGGCATTTAAACCAGCCTGGGACGGGGATGGAGAGAAGAGCCACAAAACACAGCAAAAGCCTGGGTGTGGTGGCACACTCCTTCAGTCCCAGCACTCAGGAAGCAGAAGCAGGAGGATCCCTGTGAGTTAGAGGCCAGCCTGATCTACAGAGTGAGACTCTGTCTCAAAAAACCAAAAACAAAACACCAAACATATCTTATGAAAACCATATCAGACACTGTGGTGCACACATATAATCCCGGCACTTGGGGAGACAGAGATTGGAGATTCAAGGTAAATTCAAGGCCAGCCTGGGCTACATAGTGAATCCCAGACTAGCTAAGGCTCCACAGAGAAAACCTGCCTCAAAGCAAACAGAAGTACCTCATGAGGGACTGTTTGTTCTATGGGAAGAAGGAGATGGTAGTTCAACTCTAGAGGCTGGGCAGGAGAAACGCTATAAATTCAAGGTCAGCTAGGGCTATTAGCAAGACCCTATCCAGAAATAAAAATAGCTTTATGGAGTCGATGATGAGCATTGTTTCTTTGTTTATTGTGTGTGTGGGTTTTGTTGCTGTTGCTGTTTTTATTTGTTTGTTTGTTTATTGTTTGTTTTTGAGACAGTCTCTCTATGTATCCCTGGCTGGCCAGGAACTCACTATATACTATGTAGACCAGGCTGGTCTCAATCACAAACATCCATCTGCCTCTGCTTCAGGACTGCTGGGATTAAAGTCGTGCGCCACCACGCCCGGCCGAGTACGTATGAATTTAACATACATAAAGATGTATGAATTTAATAAATGATGCACCACTCACACCCTTTTAGAGTAAGCCACAGGGATGCAGACCCACATTCTGGAACACACCCCTCCAGCCTGGCCTGTGTTCCTTTCCTTTAGGAAAGGGTTCGGCAGATCGGATCTGCAAGTTCACCTAGGCAAGCAGACCCGCCCCACAGCGAGCTCTTAATCTCCCGCTAAACCCTAAACCAAGGGGGTGAACTGGAGCTGTGCGTGAGGAAGGAGACAGGAGGAAGGAAGGGGCCTCAGAAGGCCACAGCTGCTTTTGGAATGACTGAGGAACAAGGCTGAGGAAGGCAGGCAGGCCAGCATCCAAGCGACTGCCGACGGGACTCACCTTCTCGTAGTAGCGGATCTCATACTCGGTGCCATTGGTTCCGGGAGCTCCAGCAGGAACAGGCTCCCGCCATGACAGGGACACGCTCTGGGGCTCCACGCGGTCTCTGCGGATTTCATCCTCCTCCCAGGGTGCTGAAACGAAGCAGAGCGGGATGTTCCTTCTGGATTCACTGACCACAAGATCTGGGTGAAGGTAGGAGGGGTGGGTGGGGCATGCACGAGGGAGCAGGGTTAGATGTGGGCGTGGCCTGTGGGTGGAGATGGGGATTGTTGAGGGGGCCTGAGGGGCAAAGTCTTTGTGGGACCAGAGGCTTAGGGAAAATATCTGGCCAAGGCCTCTCTCACCTTCATTGCCTAGTGGGAGGGAAAGCCCTACTTTGCCTTCCCTCTACCCAGTTTCCCCCATCCTGCTTGCTTCTACTCCTTCAGCCTCATTCTGTGGTTTGAAGACATAAGAGAGTGTGCAGCCTAGACTGGCTCGTTCACGGTGACTGGCTGCAGACAAGCAAGGGTTAGAAGGAAATCACCCCGACCGATAAAGCACCAATGTGGGAAGCCCACAGCGAATGTCACGCTCAAGAGTGAAAGACTGGAGCGTGGTGCCGTGGTGTCGACTATAGAAAGGCCAGGATGCCACTCCCTCCGCTATGGTGCTCAAAGCTCTAGCCAGAGCAACCAGGCAAGAAAAACAAACAAAAGGCGGACCCGATTGGGAAGACACAAAGGCGTCTTTGCTCTCGGAAGGCATAATCTTAACATGGAAAACCCTGCAAAAGAGCTCCCGGAGGATTCTCGGAGAACCAACCTCACAACACGAAGAACTGTCTAGGAAGAGCTTGGGATGAGACTGGACACAGTCAAGGGCTTGATCAAGTTCACCAGCCAGGCGGCTGCTGACCAGAAATGTCCTGTGCTGGCAAGAGTCTGTGAATAGTGCAAAAAGCAGCATCAGATTCCGGGACTCTGGGGAGATGGGAAAAATAGCTATCAGATAGCAGAGGGCAGAAGTGGAGGCAGCACACACGGGGTCTGCCCTTTGACGTGGGCTTTTGACAAGGGCTTCCGGTCTCACTGGGTATACCTGTCCAGTAGGCCCTGCCTCTGCCCTCTTGAATTCCAGTGATGCCTATGGCTATAGAAGGAGCTGAAACTCACAGCTGACAGCTGATGGTTAGTATAGGGGACAGGGAGGGAGAACCATGTTTTTAATCTCTGTAAAGCCAGTGGGACTGGATGGACCCAAGTGGCTGGAGTGAACCCTGGGCCCCGCTACCTACAGAGCAGTACTATCTCCCGTCCTAAAAATAACTTGAAAAACCCTTTAATCTTTTCCCCAGTGCCTGACCCTTTGAAAAAAAAAAGCAGTGTCTTTGTGAGCTGGACAATAGCAGCCTGTCACTCCACGGCTCAGCTGCTTCTAAGGAGAGTACTCTCCCCTGCCCCCAGCAGCGCCTCAGGCTGAATTCACTCAGACCTGGCATAAAAGTGAAAGAAGTGATGAAGCTTCCCTAGGAGGTGGTAAACCCCTTTGTAGACCCAGATGGGGGCAGAGACAGGGAGAGGCAAGAAATGTCATGTTTGAACTTCGTTAGTCAAGAGTGTCAGACGGCCAGGGGATCCACAGTAGGACATGGTTCCATTTTGGCTCCTCAGAGAATATACCAGATGAAAGGCTGATAGAGACTGAGAATGAAGTCCTGGGAAGATGGCTCAGTGGGTAAAGTGCTTGCCATACAAGCATGAGAGTCTGAGTTCAAATCCCCCCCCCCAAAACCGTGTAAAGCCTTTTGATATTAGGAGTTCTCTGGATTCAGCCAGGTGCCGTGGTGCACACCTGTAATCCCAGCACTCAGGGAGGCAGAAGCAGGTGGATCTCTATGAGTTAGAGGCAAGCCTGGTCTATAAAGTGAGTCCAGGACAGCCAAAGCTACACAGAGAACCTCTGTCTCAAAATACGAGAGAGAGAGAGAGAGAGAGAGAGAGAGAGAGAGAGAGAGAGGCTCTCTGGACAGTCAGCTTGGCTTACGGGGATATCTTTTCCCAAACAAGGGAGACAGGTACACTGATGGGTATCCTCTGACCTCTGCATATATGTGTGTATACATATATACATATATATGTACATATACGCACACACACTCAATCATATATGCACACACTCAAAAAAAAAAATCTGAGACTCAAAGTAAAACCTCAACCTGAGCCCCAGCTGTCCAGCTGTAGATTATGGAGGAAGTCTACCAGGGCCCAAGTCAGGCTGGGAAGAGGTTTATCGCCTGTAAAAAGACACCTATGGCTGGGTGTAGTGGCACATACCTTCATTCCCAGCACTCAGGAGGCAGGCGGAGCTCTATGAGTTGAGGCTAGCCTGGTCTACAAAGTGAGTTCCAGGACAGCCAGCCAAGACTACTCAGAAAAACTCTGTTTTGAAGAAAACAAAACAAAACAAAACAAAACTCTGATCAGAATCCAGGCAGCTGACATGTGATCACACCTGAAATCCTAGCACCTGAGCAGGGGGGACTGCTGCGAACTCAAGACTAGCTGCTAAAGAGTGTGGCCTTGTTTTCTTTTTCTAAAGGGGTGTGTGGCTACAGTGCTTACTGCACCCACATGAGGTGTCTCTCAGCTGCCTGTGATCAGTTCCAGGTAGTTTGTGGTCTACCAGGCACAAAACATGGCACACAAACACACATTCGGGCAAAACATCCATAAACAGAAAATAATGAAAAAAAAAAGGACCCTGTATATATCTATAACAAATATACTAAGAGGGTTTTATAGAAATAGTCATAAGTATAAAAATGTGGCAATGTATACTTTTTTTTTTTTTTTTTTTTTTTTTTTTTTGAGACAGAGTTTCTCTATGTAGCCCTGGTTGTCCTGGAACTTCCTGTATAGACCAAGCTGGTCTCAAATTAAAAGATTCTGATCATCTCTGCCTCTCAAGTCACCACTGAAGGACTGGTGACTTGACCACGCCTGGCCATACTTTTATTTTTTTAAAGATTTATTTATTATGTATACAATATTTTGTTTGCATGTATGCCCTCACACCAGAAGAGGGCACCAGATCTCATTATAGATGGTTGTGAGCCACCATGTGGTTGCTGGGAATTGAACTCAGGACTTCTGGAAGAACAGCCAGTGCTCTTAACCTCTGAGCCATCTCTCCAGCCCTAATACCTCTATTTTTTAAGACAGACAAAGTCTCATCTGGCCTAGACTGAGCTCATACTCACTATGTGGCTGAGAATGATCTTGAACCCCTGATACCCCTGCCTCTATTTTCCAAGTGCTGGGATTACTGGCATGCCTCTTTTTGTTTCCCTTCTTCCTTCTTCAGTTCTGGTGATCAAACCCAGTGCCTCAGCGTGCTAGGCAAATCCTGCGACCACTGAGCTGCATTTCCAGGCCTTGAATTGTTCAAAATGTGAACGCAACAGCAAGGGTTAAGTCTCAATAGAGACAATAAAGGACAGAAGCCGTCCCAGAAACCCAGGTAGACTGGGAAATATCTCTCCAAAGTCCTAAGAAAGGGATTAAGAGCTGAAAACGATAAGGGAAGCGACAAGGTGTGAGGATCAGAAAATGGATGTACAGCCTAAGGCTTAAAGATCGGCTTAAGAGATACAGCGGGAGTTCCACTCAGAGCAGCTGCCGAAGAAAAACTTTCCCGGGGATGGGGAACGAAAGTGGGCATCCAAGGGCCCACCGCGCCCCAGCCAGACCGGGGGGGGGGGGGAAAGAAAGCCATATCGGCTGCGTTTTCATTTCCATCGGCAGGCTAAGCGATCATTCAAACACCCCCGTGTGCGCACAGCTTCACACCCAAGGCCCTCAGAAAAGAATGAAAATCACCCCAAGCCTCGCTGGAAACCCAGCAGACAGGGTAGTGTCACAGAAGACGGGGGGGGGGGGGAGACGAGGGTCACACGCCAATCAAGATAGGAAAGGCTCAGCCGCTGCAGCACGCCGTTATCCATCTTGCAAAGGGCACTCGAGGGATCACTTGAAAGTGTGCACCCGAGGAGAGACAAACCATAAGTAAATGTCAAGGACTTGGAGGGTGTGGTATCAAAGGTGTCGGTTTGTTGTTGTTGTTTTTTTTTTTCCATCCCACTCGAGACTCAGAAATGGGGAGCGCGACATCTCCGTTCGCCTGCGTCCGGACCCTGTGTGCATCCCTGCTTCTTCAAAGGGTTGGGGGAAGGGGACACTCCGTCTCCACCTTGGGGGCCGCGGAGGGGGGGAAGGGGGTGCGGTCACTTCGGTTCCTGAACGCCCTGAGGTGCATGCGGGGAACTGCGGCCTGGGGGTGAGGGGCGGGTCTCCGATGGGGCGCGCGGCCTTACCCCCGGGTCCGGTGGACACGGTGACCTGAGCGTAGGTGGCCCCCGCGGCGGCCGCCGGGCCCGAGACGCCGTTGAGCGCGGCCACGCGCACGGTGTAGCGCGCGCCCGGCCGCAGGTGCAGCAGCGTGGCGGCGCGTTCCCGCAGCCCGGCCTGGCGCGGGACGAAGGCCACGCGTGGCCCGCAGGGTTGGCACGCGCCCGCCGGGCTGTCGCGGCCGCAGCGCAGGCACAGCAGCGAATAGGTGACGTCGGAGCGGCCACCGGAGTCCGCAGGCGGCAGCCAGCGCAGCCGCAGCGCCAGTGGGGAGCGGCTCAGGCTATACTGCAGGTCCCGCGGCGCCGAGGGCGGCCCTGCGACAGGGGGGCGGCGCTGAGTGGGACCAGGCGGGGACGCTAGAGCGCGGGGCATGGGGGCGCGGACACCCGGCATGGGGAGCGGTACGGAAGCCATCAGCCTCATGGGAACGTGGGGAGCAGCGCGGGGGACCGAGATGAGAGCATATTGAGGGGACCGGGATGGGGACACGGTCACAGCCAGACTCAGGAAGAGATAGGGGAGTAGGGAGGGTACTCCCCAGAAGGCCCACCCACAGGGAACTTTGACCTCAATCTGCACCCTTCTAGGCCCCTTTAGTCCCAGGCCCGGATTCCCAGACCCACCTCAGGCTTCCCTCTTTACCCTGTCAGTCCAATTCACAACCCCTGTCCCCTCCCACCCCCATCTCAGTAGCAGGCGGGTGGATGGCGTCCTCCTTCCCCCGGCCAGGCAGGAGGGCACTCACGGGTGCAGGAAGCTGAGGGCGGGTCGGTGGGCGAGCGAGCATAGGTGTCCTGGCATACGCAGAATGTAGAAGCATTCTCCAGGGCCAAGCTGTGCTCCGGGCACGGTGAGCAGAGGGGCCGCCTTGGGGACACCTTGTAAAACCCTGGGGGACAGGCTGTAGGAAGGGGCTGGTGAGAAGTCGCCTCCCTGACCGTGCCCTACCCTGTATTCTTGCTTTTCCTGGACTAGGGTAGGGAAAGTGGGGTGCCTGGTCATGACAGACGCTGTGTGTGCAGGCGGGAGATAATGACTTAGTTCACTCCCGTTAATACCTTTGACTTCAGTCTCCGTGGCTAAAAAGAGGAAAGTGAGGCTGGGAGAGGTTAAGCTGCCTAGTGGCCCACAGTTGGTGGGATTCCCACTGAAGCCTGCCCCTTTCAAAGCCCTGGCGACGCTGCCCTAAGGTCAAAGGTCTTGGTGTGAGCAAGAGAAAAGAAGGGTGGGGCCTCTAAGGGCTGGGCCCTGATACTCAGAGACAGACACACAATCCCACTTACACAGACAAACAGAGAGCTAGGCAGGCAGGTGTCAGACAGACAGACAGAGACAGAGAGGCTGGACTCCAGTTTGGAAGCAGAGCTGGGCAGGTGGAGGGGCGGGGCTGGCAGTCTTCCAATGGCTTCCTAGATTAGTCCTGGTCTGCACATGTACTCAGGAGCCTTGCTGCCCTCATCTGCGCTCACACAACCCGGAGCACAGCTCCTAGGAGCAGGCAGGAGCCCAGCTAGGTGGGGTGTGTGTGTTGGGAGGGTCGGTTCCTAGCTGTGCTGAGTCTGTGTCACTCACTCCCTCGCTGTGTGGCCTTGGGCTTGTTGGGTAATCTTTCTGAACCTCTGGTAGAACACCTGCCTCAGCAGGCCCTCAGGAGGTCTGACTGAGATAAAACACTGATAGGACTGTATGGACGCTCTCACAGTGCTGGTAGTAACTACCGTTTCTCCCTCTCAGGCTGGAAGAGGGATCAGATAAACACTTTATCGACAGACAGACTGATTGAAACAGGATCCCATGCAACCTGGGCTCCAGCTAACCGTGTAGCTGAAGGTATCCTTGAATTTTTGTTCTTCCTACCTCTCCTGAATGCTGGGATTACAGGCGTGAGGTGGAGGTGCCTTGCTCAGAGGGAGGGAGGGTTTGCTGTTCTAGCTGTGGTCTTCGTGGTCCCATCGCAGGCATTTTGCGGTCCTCCCTACTCTGAGAGGCACTGTCTAGAAGAGTGGCGTGTTGAAGGACAGACACAGAAAAGGATTCCCTACCAGCCAATACCTTCCTTTCTTCAATGTCAAAGTCAGAAACTCAGAGGTCACCTAGTTCAACAGCCACTGGTCTGGCACTGCAGAGATTTTTTTCCACCAGCTTTGCACGTATGCCTCACGATGCCCCCCTTCTCAGGCTGCCTTTGCCACCAGATAGAAAACAGAACGAAGGTAGGAGCAGCCCAAGTTGGGTGCTCTGTGTAGAGTCAACTCTGTTACTACACGGGGGCGGGGGGGGGTCCCATTAATCTGTACAGGCTCAGCCAGCAGGCAGACCCATAAGAGAGCTGGTAATGGGTTACCAGCCCGATGTGCTCCCTAAAGGGAAGCCAAATGTCGTTGATTCTTATGGTTGTTAGAACAGGACCGAGAACCCAAGTCACTAAAGAAAGAGTGGGTCCCTGGGTTGGCGTATGCCTTCTGATCCCAGCACTCAGGAGGCAGAGGTAGGTGGAGGTACGGAGGTTTGAGGGCAACCTTGTCTACAGAGTAAGTTCCAGAACCTCCAGTGCTACACAGAGAGCCCTGTCTCAAAAAAACAAAACAAAACAACAACAACAACAACAAAGCAAAATAAAAAACACCCAAAAAACCATAATAATAATAATAAAATGGAGTGAAGAGATCTTAACTTTGTCTTCTCCTCTGGCTTTGAGAAAGTGTTCATTTAGTCTCAAGAGTTCCTTGGATTGCCTGAAGGCACCCGTGCAAACCTAACCACTTCCATTTCTGTCCTAGCCTTCTATAGCAGCCCCCACCATACCTACCCTGAGCACTGCAGACAGCTCCTGGCTCCTGACCCATGATGTCTCACACCCACTTCCTCCCGGCAGCTGAGTTATGTATCACTCCACAGTCCAGTTCCAACAGCACCTCCCTTGGGAAGTTTGCCGTGGATTTCCCCCCACTCCTCCACTGCCCTGGGTGGAAGTGATGCCATTATAAGCGACTTTCATCTGGTCTCAGCCACGGAGAGGGAGCATGGCACAAACCATAGATCTCTGGTCTCTAAGCATCCACAATTTTATCATCTGCTGTGAGCCAGGTGTTTTTCCAAGCTTTGAAAACACACCATGAAGTAGACAAGAATCTGACTCCCCCCACCCCGTTACAGCCGCCTCCACACCTGGCAGAGCACGGAGAGAGGGTGAGAGTTAGTAATTCCTCCAACATCTGGCTATGGAAACCAAGAACACCTCCATCTGACCCACATATCCTCTCCTTCAGTCTACGTGGGGACAAGCCACCCTCCGTTTGAGGACAGCTAGCCATCTCCACTCTGGACCCCCGCCTTTCACCCCTCCTCAATGTCAACATTCCATCTGTCATCTCCCTTACTGGTCTTTTGCAGCCCTCTCTCTCTGCTGCCTCTTTCCAGTGATGTCACTAGCGGGTGGAGTGGAAAAGCAATCCATTTCCATGCAGGCATAAGGGCTCTGGCTATAGACTATTTTAAAACAATCCTAAAACTGACTAAAAGTTGTCCTGCTTTTTATTAGCAACATGCGTCAGCACTTTTAACCCACGTCAGTAATAAAACACTCCTTTCTCTTCAACAGATCATTCCGCAAACACACTCGGTATGCCACAGGCTCTCTTTCCAAGTGTATAAACAGGCTTCTAGAGTCCTGGTGGGGGGCGGGGCCCTGGAGAGATGGCTCAAGGCACTGGCCCTTCTTCCAAAGGTCCTGAGTTCGACTCCCAACAACCACATGGTGGCTCACAACCATCTCTAATGAGATCTGGTGCTTTTGCCTGCTGCTGAGCCCCCTATCCCATCCCGTCTTCACCACTCAAGGATGACTGCCAACATTTCAGACCACAGTTCACAGTCTGCCTCCTGGACTACAGTGTCCACCTTCTTCCGTCTGTCCCACAGCGTTCCCCCACTTCCTTTTTCCGCCCTTGCAGCTTGACTGGCCTTCTGAAAATATAAATCTGAGCATGTTGATGTTCCTCCTCATTAGCCTGAAGCATAGAGTTTTTATTTCATCATTCACTCATGGCCCTGCCCCACTTCTCACACTCCTACGTGCCCTCTGCAGCAACCACACTGGATTACTTATTTAGTACCAACCACTATGTTCCCTTTTGTCACAATGCCTCTGCAGAATGTTCTCAGCCACCAGGAAGAAAAACCTCCCTTTTTTTTGGGAAAACTCTCCCCATCCTTAGAACTGGGATCTCTGTGCGTATGACTCACACCAAGCCTAACTGTCAGCTTGACATCTAGGAGAGAGAGAGAGAGAGAGAGAGAGAGAGCGCTGCTTCTGGGCACAGCTGTAAGGGATTGTTTAGATTAAGGTTAGCCTCTGGGAACGGCTGTGAGGGATTGCCTTGACTGGACCAACTGAAGTAGAAAAACTCGTCTTTTTGTTTTTTTGTGACAGGGTCTGTTTACATAGGCCTGGCTGTCCTGGAGCTCACTGTGCAGAGCAGGCTGGCACTGAGCTCACAGAGATCGGCTTGCCTCTGCCTCTTGCATGCTGGGATTACAAGAGCCATTCCTGAGCAGGAGCCCTGGACTTTATAGGGTAGAGAGAGCCTGAGGAGCACTGGAAGGCCTGCCTTGATTCATTGCTCTCTGCTCTTGACTCGGTCTATAATGATGTGACCAGTTCCCCAGGCCTCTGTGGCTTCCTCACCGCAGGAGATGGTAACGTGGAATTCTATGCCAGATAAATCCTTTCTCCTTTCAGCTGTTTTTGTCAGGCTATTTTATCATAGCAGCAGAAAGGAAACTAAGACACATGGTCACCCAGTTCATTTCTGCTGACCACTTACCACATCCCCCAGCCTGCAACGGCCCCCCGGGGCTGCTGAGATTAATGCCTGAGCTCAGAAACACAGCTGTGTACACACGTATTTCAGTAGACTACAATAATACAGGCATAGAGGACTCAGGGAGAACTGGATGCTTGGGACAGACAGCTCAGAAAGATTCTTGCTTGTGAGCTTCATATTAACCATAGTTTCCCAGGGAATAAAAGGTTGCATCCATCACAATACATCTCGTATCCTCAGCTCCTCTGAAAGGATGGTTGAATAAGTAGGAAAACAAGGGTCCTGGTTAGCTTTAACTGTCAGCTGGGGGATTTCTCAGATCAGATTGGCCTATGGGATGTCTGAGGGGGTTGTCTTGATGTAGGAAGACCTGTCCACTGTGGGAGGCACCATTCCCTGGTCAGGTGGTCCTGAGCTGCATAAAAAGCTAAGCATTTCAGCCAGGGAGCAGTCTTCCTCCACGGATTTTGCTTTGAGTTCCTTCCCTGACTTTCCTAAATGATGAACTGTGATCTGTAAGCTGAAACAAACCCCTTCATCCCTTGTTTTGTTTTTATCAATGTTTTTTATCATAACACCAAGCTTAGCCACTTCCTCTGTTCCCTACCACTCTGCAGCCATGTTATAGCACATATCACTTTCTTATGACTTAAAAAAAAAAAAAAATCTTTGCTCCTTTCTAAATAGATGTAAGCTTTTCAAGAGCCGGGGCAGTGGCTGGTTCGTTTCTATTGCCCTGATACCCAGAAAAAGACCTGGATTAGAAAGTGCATGCATCAGGGGCTGGAGAGATGGCTCAGAGATTAAGAACACTTCTGTTCTTCCAAAGGTCCTGAGTTCAATTCCCAGCAACCACCTAGTGGCTCACAACCATCTACAGTGAGATCTGGTGCCCTCTTCTGGTGCACAGGCGCACATCCAGGCAGAATGCTGTATAAACAGTAAATAATAAAAATTTAAAGAAGTGTGTGCGTCCTTTGGTAACAAGATGGCTCAGTGGGTAAGCTCAACTGCTGTCTAGTTTGACCACTTGAGTGCAATAGCAGAACCCACAGTAGAAGGACAGAGCTGATTCCTATGGGCTAGCCTCTGACTTCCACTTGCCTTCTATAGCATGCACATTCTCTCTCTCTCTCTCTCTCTCTCTCTCTCTCTCTCTCTCTGTCTTTGTCTCTCTCTCCCCTCTCTCTGACACACCACACAGAGATAACACACTCCTTTGAATTTTCTGACGGAATGCACACTCTTGGTCCCACTCCACCTCGTGGCTTCAAAGCCACGAACCCAGGGAAGCAGCAAACATCCCAGTGACACAGAGGTTCTACTTCAGAAAGCTGAGTGGGATCCTGGGAGCCACGTCGTGCAAGCTGCCACTCTCAGGCTCTGAGATGTCCCCTGCCAGCCTCACTTGAATGTGGTCAAGGGCCAAGTCCCTGAAACACTAGCCTGAGGGTTGGTCTGCCATGGAGCAGTAGATACCCAGAGCCGGGCAAACCTGGATTCCAATCTTAACTGCCCATTTCCTAACTTTGCAAGTGATGTGGGCACTCATCCCTTTGGTAATGGGAACCTATCATTGTCTGAAATACAGGTCTCTGCATTTTTGTTTTTGCTCGTTTGGTTTGGTTTGGCTAAGAGAGCAACTCACTATGTATAGCCCAGGCTGACCTCGAAGTCACCATCTTCCTGGCTCAGCAGGTGAGGGCTGGTTTTACAGGCCTATGACACTACCCCTGGCTCCTGGTGTGTCCTTACGTGGGATCAGATTCACCTTTTCCTGTCTGTCTTGGCTAGGTCCACTAGAAGCTGCACAAAAGGCCCCGGCTCCCATCTCCTCCCACGGCCTCTCCACTTCCACTCCTGCCTCTTCCTCTAGAGCGCAGTGTCCTGCCATCTGCCTGCGGCGTCCCCATCCCATCCCTCCAGGTGCCCCCGGGTACCTTCGCAGAGGTCACCACGTTCCTGGAATCCAGCACTACAACGGCAGCGCCCCACGGGCACCAGCCACTCGCCATCCGCGCCGCAGTGCATGCGGGGAGGGCTGCCGGGTTCCCCCTCCGAGTGGGCCACGCACGTTCCGGCCACTTCCACCAGCGTGGAGAAGGCGCTCTCCGCTGCGGTGGCGGGGAAGGCGGCCAGGCCCCGCACCGTCGCCCCGCACTGCTTGTAGTAGACGCGCACGGAGACCAGCGCCACGCATGCGCCCACGTCCTGGAAGGCCAGGTGGAAGCCTGGCCGGCTGAGGGGACCGATCTCACGCACCTCCGTGTTCAGCTTCATCTTGCGCTCCCCGAGGTCGCCCTGCGTGAAGCTCTCGTCAGCCGCGATGGTGTCAATCTTGCGGGGCCGGTTGCCTCCCAGGCGGGGACGCCCCCGGCCCAGGTCGGCCTCCGTTTCTAGGTAGTAAGCGTTGAAGGTCTCTTTGCAGGTCCCCGCGGCGCCAGGGATGCTGCTGCAGTCGCGGAGCGTGAACTGCAGCTCCACGAAGATGCGCTGCCCACGGCCGCGGCCGATCCAGCCCGTCTGCAGCCAGTTGTCCTGGTTGGGCTCCAGCACGTTGCACACTTGGTACGTGCGGATGGGACGGTCGTGTTCGTCCACGCCGCTAATCTCCTCCCACTGAGGCAACAGTACAGAAACGGACACCTCAGAGCCTGGAGCTTGCCCGCCTTTTTCCCTTCCCCTGCCTTCCAGCCCCCTGCCATTATAAGCCCCCAAAATGACAATATAATGGGCGAGGAGACACTTCGGAAATGAACAATTCTGATCCGTTTTCTTACTTGCCGGTACCGGGGATTGAACCTAGGTCTTTGGGCTTGCTGAACAAGCACTTTATGGCAGATCTTTTTTCTTTTGACATTGCATCAACTAAGTTGTCCAAGTTGGCTTTGAATGAACTCTTTGGTCAGTCAGGCTGAATTTATATTCCTCCTAACTCAAACTTCTGAGTAGCTAGGCTTACAGGCCTGTGCCAGGAGGCCGGTTCTAATCTTTTTCCTTTTCTCTGTTGTTTTAAGAAAGGGTCTCACTCTGTAGCCTAGCCTGGCCGTGACCTCTCAGGCTGACCTCAAACTCACAGCTGTTTTCCTCCCTCAGCCTCCAGGGTCCCACCCAGGCTTGCAGGCATGAGCTGTCACACCTGGCTTCCTCTTTTCCTTGTAAACTTTGTGGCATTTCTTGGATTTGCATGTTGTCCTTGAGCAGGGGCCACCTGGTCTTCCCTGGATCATCCTAATTTTAACATGTGTGCTGAGAAACAGGACCGATATTTGTTTTTGTGGATGAGGAAGATGAGGTTGCAGAGGGAGAGCCCTTTGAACAGACGGGCAGAGCTGGGGATGGTACCTAGCATCCACTCAACTCTTGGCCCGGTGACCTTTCCACCCCACCCCACCCCACTTTGTCAATAACCGACAGCTACTTGGAGGTCTACCGTGTGTGAGGTAATGGCCCACACACATTTTTGTTCCTGGACACAGCCAGTTCTCTCGTTGATTTACTTGGCTGACTAACTGAAGACTTGGTATTTCCCAGTAAGGCTACCCTGGCTTGACCCCGGGGTTCTGGAGGACCCCGCTCTGTGCTGCATCTTTAAAACTTCTTTCACAGGGGATGGAGGGATGGCTCAGAGGTTAAGAGCACTGGCTGCTCTTCCAAAGCTCCTGAGTTCAATTCCCAGCAACCACATGGTGACTCACAACCACCTATAATGAGGCAGAACACTGTATACATGATAAACAGATAGATAGATATCTAGATAGATAGATAGATCTTTTTAAATAATTCTTTCACAGGGTGCCTGAGATGCCTCAGTAGGAAAAGGCACTTGCACCAAGCCTGACCTGAGCCTGATCCCCAGGACCCACATACTGGGTGAAGAAAACAGATTCCCACAGGTGGTCCCAACCTCCACCTACGCACCGTGGCACCAACACTTATACGCACATACATAAACACGGTAAATAAATTAAAACACCAGTAAGTTATTAAAGATGTTAGAATGTTCACAGTTGCATTCTGTGTAATGTGCTCTGCTCACATCTCCCTATTATTCTCTCTTCTGCCCTTCTCCCTAGCGCCAAGACACTTCTTCCCAGCAAGTCCCCTCCTACGCACGGGTCTCTGTGTGTGGCCCACTGATCTAACTAAGGTGTGGGCGGGTGGGGAGACTGTGTGGTACATCTTGGTCCTAGGTGAGCGCAGGGTGTAAAGAGGCCGAGTCTCGGCCTCCTAGAGGGTCCTTGAGGGTGGAGGGGCAGTTTAACACCTACCCCGTTACTTGGCAGTGTAGTCCAACCCAGCTCAGCCTGGGAGGCTTTGGAGTCCAGGAGGACCACTGAGAAGAGGGAAGAACACAGATGTCAGAAAGCCACACTGTCACGTTAGGAGGCTGGGATCCATTGCTGGACTTACCCAGATAGCTACAGGAGGGGATGGGAAACAAAGCAAAACTCCAGAGGATCTGAGCGGCTCAAGTCCAGAGAGGGGCAGCCACAGTGATGAACGAAGGCACCTGTATTCATTCCCTGAGGCCTGGGACAAGTGCCACAACCATCGTGGCTATGGCCTCTCCTCCACCTTCAGTGCCTGATTTCAGCCTCTGCTTCTATGGCCGTGTTGCCTTCTCCTCTGGCTCTGAGTCTTGTTGCCCTCAGAGGAGGACTATTGCAGTTGCCCTGGAACCCTTTATGCAATCCAGATTCATCTCTTTATATCAAAATGCCCAGCCACACTGCACCCCCATCTTAAGTTAACATTAACAAATTCTGGAGATTAGGACATGGCTTCCTTCTTTCCTTCCTTCCTTCCTTCCTTTCTTTCTTTCTTTCTTTCTTTCTTTCTTTCTTTCTTTCTTTCCTTTTTTTCTTCTCGAGTTGAATGTCATTACCAGCCTTCCACCAGCTCCATGGCAAATACTCTAAGGTCGGTTTTCACATTAGGGATGGAAGCCAGTGACCGCGTCCACCCTCTTCACATTCCCCAAATTATATTAACTGTCAGCTAGCAGGAGGAAGTTAGTGGATCTGGGAATTCTTGGGTGCACCCCAGATCCACTCAGATCTGAGGTCAGTCTACCAGACACAAAGGGGACCAAAGCCTTTTCATTTGCCTCGAAGGGCCTCTGGTGAAAACAAGGTGGAGAGGCTACTCAGCAACAAGAACCATCAGAATTCTTTGCTTCTCTACTGCCTTTGAAAAAAGGCCATGGGTCCCTACACACATAACCCATGACTCTTTTCACTCCCTCCCTACCGGAAAAGCCTGGAGTCACTTTATTCCCTCGGGATGTGACAGATCGGCAGCCTACATCCTCAGCTGGGCTCAGAGAAGCCTGGGTCTGGAAAGCAGAGCCTTCAGCTTAGAGACAGGAAGCCAGGCCATCCCCAAATCTCAGAAAATTACTTCCCCGGAGTGGTAAGGAAAGGGGGAGAGCCTCCAAGAGGGACTGACTCTAGAGGCAGCCGAGACGGTGGGCAAGGCCTCGGACAGTGCGCTGGGTTTTCCGTCACCGACCGTGCTTGGGAATTGCATACTGGAAGGCAGATGCCATCCCGCGCCAGGACAGACCCTGCGGGCAGAGTCTGCTCCAGCATCTTGGGGCTCTGCACCTGGTTGTCACGCCTCTGGATTCAACTGAGCATGCAGCTCCAAGAGGAGTGTGAGCAGAGGCGAGACTCCCGGAGCTAACGTCGCCAACAGCCCCAGTTCCTCCGCAACGCGGACCGCGCACGGTGGGCTCGCCCGATTCAGCACTGCGGACAGCTCCACGGGCAGCACTTCAGGCAGAGCCCGGACTCTGCCCCCGCGATTAGCATCCAGCCTCCCGCTGCCCACCCCGCGATCTCCCCAGGCCCCCGCTATTGGTCTCCATCCCACCTCATGCTCGGGTCTGGCCGCATCCCCTCGGTTTCTCTGCTCCCTTCGTCTCCCCGCCCCCACGTCTCCCATCCCCAGTCCCTCAGCCTGTTCGTCTCACCGGCCCCTGAACTGCTGCCTCGGACTCAGCCTCTTTCTTCCCCAGCCTCCTAGGTCTCCAGACCCAAGCTCCTCGGTACCCATCTCTTCTCTACCGCTCAGGCAACCTCCCCTCTTTCTCTACTTCTTTCCCGCCCCGCCGCCCGCTTGCTTCAAGCCTCTCCACCGAGTCCCCCTAGCCCTCCAACTCCCTATTTTTTTTTTTTTTTTTTTTTTTTTTTGGCATCTCAGGATCCCAGATACAACCCACCTTACCTTCCTCGGCGGTCCCGGGCCGCCCGGGTCCCAGAAGCAGAGCGAGGCAGAGTGGCATCAGGCAGACGAACAGGCGCAGCGGGTGTGGACCGGGGCCAGGCTCCATCGTCCAGAGACGGAGCTGTCAGTGCGGCGGCGACTCCAGCCTCGCCAGCCCAGCACCGCCGAGCAGTGCCCCCAGACCCCAGAGCCGACCGAGGGCGGAGTCTCGCCGGTCACCATCATCCATGGGGACCAATCGCTAGGCGTCGCCGCGGGAGGTCCACCAATCCCCGGCAGCAGAGAATAGGGAGGTGGGGTTTCATAGGCCAGGGGCGGAACGCCCAGCTGGAGGGGGGAACCAAGGGGTCCCGCAGAGCTCCAAACCGTGGGGGTAGGGCGGCCCTGAGCGCTTGCGGGGCTGCTGGAGAGCGAGACAAGCTGGCGTCGGTGGACCAGAGACCCTTAAACCTTAGCTCTCGGCGTCCCGGGAAGTAGGCGCTGTGGGCGTGGCTTACGGGGGGGGCGGTCCGCGGGGAAGCGGTGACACTTGCAGCCTCTTAGCTAGCCACCGGAGCACGCAGGACTTGCAGGGGGTCTCCGAGCCTGACATCCTGACCTCAAGCTCTGGGGAGCTGTGGTGTCTCCCGGCCCTTGGCCACTTCCTGCGTCTGCGGATCCCGGTGTTTCATGGTTCGATCCCTCCTCCCCCGCCCCACCCCCCAGCCCTCATCACACACACACACACACACACACACACACACACACACACACACACACACACACGCAGTGGTCGGTCCCAGGAGCTGCTTGGGAAAAGGGTCAGGTCGGAGGGAGACAGGGTCCCACCCTCCCAGCACCGCTTCCGAGGCTGGGAAACCATGTGGACGCTGAGGTGGGGGCAGTAGCAAATTTTGCACGAACAATCAGCTTCCCAGCATCTTGCTGCTGTTGTGTCCAGACGCACGAGCAGCATACCCCCACCACCTCTGTCTACAGTCCGTTCAGGCTGGGGTTCCCCTCGGGGCACCCCGCTCTCCCCACCCCAGGAGGAGAATGACGAGAAACGCAGCACGGAGAATCTGAGGTTCCTGTCAAAGAGGCGGAGCAGTCCTCGAAGAGTTCGGCCGGAGCTGGAGAAGCCGCAAGGAAACGTGGGACGCGACCTCTATTTAATGAAGGTCACTTGTGTGGATGCTGGCGGTTTAACCGTTCGGTGAGGTGGCGAGGGCTGGGGCCCTCCAGAACGCAGGGGGCAGCTGAGCTTCACCCTTTGAGCGTAACTTGAGGGGAGAACGCCCCACCCACCTGGTGGCTTTCCACCGGGGCCGAAACCCCTTTCTCTTTAGGGGTCACAGCAGCCAGAGAAGCCCGGAGTGTGAGCGCGAGCCACACAGGCGCTTGGCTGTGGGCTCTGTGCGTCTGTGCATTTTGCCGAGATGTGTACTCCTCGCCCCTCCCGCTAACACTCCGCGGGAACGGCGCTCGGTGCTAAGGACACCTCGGTGAGCCTTGGGTCTCGGCCCCGTCCCATGCTTCTGGGCACCGAATGTAAAGGCAATTCATGGTATCGTGGATCACTAGCCATTCACAAGCCGCTCTCCCGTGCTATCTCTGTCTCTCTGTGTCTCCGTCTCTGTGTGTGCGCGCGCACACGGAACTTGCTTACTACAGATACAGTTGCTGGACAGTGGGTGGGTGGGGATTGGTTTCCTTCGCTTCTGGGAAGAAAAGGTCATCAGGAAGGGCTGGGCTGAGACGCTGTAGGAGACTGAAGCCCGCTGAGGAAGCAAGAGGAGGTGTGGCCTCCGTCTCGTTCCCAGAGACAGGCTGCGTCCCTGAAATAAGACCTACCTGAAGAAAGGCTCCTGTATCCCCCCACCTTCCTCCCATCTTCATTCTCCTCACGCTCCGTTGCCCCTCCCCCTCCCCCCAGCGCTGGGAGATGGTATTTTTAGAAGCTGCCTAGAGACCCAGGACTCCTTTCATTTCAAAATGAGACCTCACTCCACCAACCCTCACACTCCCCCTCTCTTTAAAGCCAGGTCCTATCCCCCTTGGCAGTCGGTAAGGAATCAGGCGGGACTTCTTACACGGGCTCCAGAGACCTCAGCCCAAAGCTTTTGACCCTGGGTACAAACACAAAAACGCTGGCTCCCCCTGAGCCACGGGGGTGGGGGTGGGGGGGAATCTTTCAGGAGCCAAACAGATGGATGATACGAACTGGATAAGCTACACAGGATGCTCACAAGACACTCCTGACTGTGGGGAGACTCCATTGCATGTACCGGGGAGAAGTTGCCAGAAACCCTAGGAATGGGGGGAAGAAGAGTGAACTAATCCTCGTTCTTCCTGTGAGCAATTCATTTACACATAATAAAATCGGAGCAGAAAGGCCCTCATGTTTGCAGACATATGCGAATCAGCCGGATCCAAGGGAGACCCCCCTCTTCCAAGAGCTGCAGAACACATAACCCCTGGTGAGGAAATTCTGCAGAGCACCCTACCGCTCTGCGCCCCCATGTCCTTCCAGGGAGCAGGAAGGGCTTTGTCCTGAGTTTCCTTCTGCAGTATTGGTTTTCTGATGGAGGAGATGACCTGCTCTGTCCAGAGAGATACTCCCTGCCTCTGTGAAACCAGACTTTCCACACTTGGAAATCCTTTCAGTAACATGGAAGTTGAAGTTATGACAAAGTTGGGTCTGCATCCTGGAAGACCACTTGAAATTATTTTCGGTGTTGAATTAGCTCTCACGGTCCCTACAGGTTTAATGCTGTGTGTGGCCTTAGAAGGCAGCGAGGTAGAGGAAGGCTTCTTCCCATCATGCCTCAAGATGATACTCCCATTAACCAAACCATTATTTTTTTTAATTATTCATTTATTGAACGTACACGAGTGCTTTATCTGTATGTGTACCTGAACTCCAGAAAAGGACATCCAGATCATATTATAGATGGTTGTGAGCCACCATATGGTTGCTGGGAATTGCACTCAGGACCTCTGGAAGCGCAGCCAACACTCTGAACCAAATCTCCGTTATTTATCATGGCCTTCAGAAGTGTTAGGAACCAGTCAACCTACAGGCAAGGTTAGAGCCTTCTCTGAAATAGCTCTGAGGACAGGGGACCCGAAAGGGGGGAGGTCCCCAAAGGGAGATCCTGGCCATGGTGCTGAACCGTCAGCATCCAGGAGTTCTTTGGCAGGGTTTCTGTCCGTGGTTCTGAACCCAGCCTGGACACTTCAATTTTTGCTTGTGCTTGGACTTCTCAAGCACAAGAATTGTGCTGCATCTTCATATTCAGGCTGCATATTTATTCACTTTGAACTCTTCCTGTTTGTAACCAAGACTCTGTGACATGTGTGGCTGGTGTCTTTCGGTGCCAAGCAGCCTTTATTTTCTGAAGTAAAAGATGAGGGGTCCAGAATACACTTGGTAACAACTGTTTTCTCTTCCATTTCTCTCAGGCTCTTTCTTGAAGTACGATGGGAGGGACAGAGGCTTCCTCTACATCACTGTCTTAACGGGCCGTGACATAAAACCTGTACTGACTGTGAGACCCGATTCAACACTGCAGATAATTTCACGTGGTCTTCCACGATGCAGATCCAACTTTATCATAACTTTCATTGGTCTGGTTTCTCAGATGTGGGGTGGATATCGCTGGACAGAGCAGACCATCTTCTCCATGAAGAAAACTAACCCCACACAAGGAAACTCAGGGCAAGTCCTGCTCTCTAAAAGGTCATGGGAGCGCAGAGCGGTAAGGAGCTCTATTCCACAAAGGGACATCTTCATTTGTTGCCTTCCTTATTCATTTCCTGTCTACTTCCCTGGCCAAAAAAAAGTTGTCAACATACCCAAGATAAATTGCTTTCTGAGGTAATTGATTCACAAGTAAAAATAAAATGAAGTTATAAACAAAAAGAAACTTTAGACAGGGTCTCGTGTAGACCAGGTTGGCCTCCAGTTCTCTATGTAGCTGAGGACAACTCTGAGCTCCTGGTGGTCTTATCTCTATCTCACAAGGGCTGAGAGTACTAGCATGTGCCATGACTTCCAGCTTTAGGAGCTAAGATTAGTATGTGGCCCAACTCAGTACTTGGCACATAGGCTCGGTTATAACGTTATTCAACTCCACTGTTAATTAAAGTCAAAATAGGAAAGAAAGAATGAATAAGGAAGGTTAAGTGGTGAGATAAGAGAAAAGACAGAATTAGATAAAGAATTGTAGAAGGGCTGGCTCAGCGGTTAAGAGCACTGACTGTTCCTCCAGAGGACCCAGGTTCAATTCCTAGCACCCCCAAGGCAGCTCACAAACGTCTGCAACTCTAAGATCTGACACTCTCAAACAGGCATACACACAGGCAAAACACACACACACACACACACACACACGACTTGTAGAAGAAAAGAAGTGGGAGATAAAGACACAGCTGGTTGAGATGAGCGGTTAGAAAGCAAAGAAGTCTGAAAGAAATGGACTTGGAGAGGTGGAAGTGTCATCAGGACTCACCTGGCCAGCTGCCAAGTGGTATGAGAGGTGACATTTACCTTGGTGAATTCATCAGGATGCAAGCTTATGAACTCGACACAACAGCATTAAAAATGAGTCTATGTATCTGGAAGATGGAAGCTGGCCACATTAGCTCAGCATCCACCCGGGTGAGATTAGAAACAATACTTTAATTTTTGGTAAGAATTTAAGCTGCCAAGAAAGTCAGAATTGTGAGACAATATGCCTGCCGCATGCTCTCCGATAGGAGGAAGTGCACAGGGAGTTGGTCTACGGTGCGGAAGGAGCTGTGCGACTAGGAGGAAGGGGCTCGAGGCCTCTAGGGTTGGATGACAACAGATTCTGATGGCCTCAACCCTCCAGATTTCTTGGCTGGCCCCTAGCACAGAGCATAAGGTGTAGCAACAGGTGTTTGTCTGAGTGGCTTGTTTGTTTGCTTGTTTGTTTGTTTGGATTGGATTCACAGTGTTACCATTTAACAGGGTAATATCAATTAATAAAAAAAATTGTAATTCCTGGATCAACAAGATGTAAAGTAAAGGCACTTGATGCTAAGCCTGAGTTTGATCTCTGGAACCTACATGGTAGAAGGAGAGAACAACTCTTATTACATTCCTCTGACCTCCATACATAAACCCTGACACGCATGCATCACCGCTCACTCATTTATCCATATATCATACACACATACATCACACACACACACACACACACACACACACACACACACACACACACAC